ACAAAAACCAGATTTTGGACATTTAAAGTTTTGTAGAAAACGTTTTCCGAAAATTTGATCCTCCGAAAGTTTTTATTTCAGATAATTGCACTTCATAATCGTGAAAGCATAGAATCAACTGACATTAACGAAACTTAAAGCTTGATCCATGATACTCCTTTGCAATTCCTTTCCCCGTTCTGCATCCTTTGCCCCTCTGAGGCTCTGGCACCCAGGATAAATTCATGCCATCGATGCGCTACTGGTCAATAATCCCACATTATTTCGTTTTTGCAGTATGCGACAAAAGGCTGCAAACTAATCCTTTGCAATTAAAGTTGCAATGGTGTTTCGATCTAACTGGGTAAATATGCGATTACTGAACAGCCTTGAGGTTACCAAACGAATCGATCCTAGTGAAATCCGTCCCCCAATTGAGAAATAGATAACCCGACCGGGGAGTCCCCCTTTTCTAAGAATCGAATTCATTCATTTCATTTTATATTCTTTATACACAAAAATCCCTTCAGCTTACAACTAAATACCAAATATGAAAATAAATACCCTAGTTACATTTATATAATTTATATACAGTTAAAGCTAAATTATGCACAGTAATCTATCTTATAGCAGCTGCTCTTCCAGGGAGTCGTGTTTTATGTTGCGTTCAGCTCGTATAATAACTTTTCAATTGCTTTTTGAATTGACCAAGTGTAGAGAGCTCTCTGATATTGATGAGAATATCGTTCCAGGCTTTCAGAGCCGAATAGTGAAAGCCTTCTTTGACGTATTCAAGGTTATTTCTTGGGATTTGTAGGTCCCTGCAATTCCTTGTTTTGTAGTTGGAGTGCTGGGTCCTATGATGATCTTTATCCCAAAGGCTTTCGGGACATTGTCTGCTGATTATTTTGTATGTCAAAACTGATCGATCGAACTTTGTTAGTTGCTCAACGGTCAGCCAGTTATGAGACCAGTTGTCTTTTAGTCTGGCCTTATCAATAATCGAGCGTGCTTTGTCCTGCAGACGTTGGAGTATATTCAATTTTGATTTAGGAAGACTTCTCCAAATAACATTAGCGTATCTCAGATGGCTTTCGATAAGTGCACGGTACACATGGTCGAGCAGGGATTGTGAAATAAGATTTTTCAGTTTTTTTTAGCGACTTCAGATCGCGGTTAATCTTTCCTTTCACTTTGCTGAATTGGTCATCCCAGTTTAGCCCTTCGTCCACCTTAACTCCTAATGATTTGGTCTTCGCAACTCGCTTTATTTCTGAATCATTAAGGTGAGGGGGTTTTGAGATTTCAACTTATTTTTCCTCCGTGGATGGCCAATAATCATGTATTCAGTTTTTTTCGGGTTTGCGCTTAGTTTGTTTATCCGCATCCATTCCGAGATGTTTCTTAATTCTTTGTGGGCATTTGTAAGTAGATCCTCAATGTTACTAGATGTTAATGTAACATGTGTGTCATCTGCATACATGCTAGCCTTACAGAATTCCAAGCACTTTTCAAAGTCATTTAGGTAGATGATAAACAGGAGTAGTCCAAAGCATGATCCTTGAGGTATACCACATGTTACCAATCTAGCCCCCGACTGTTGTCCATTAACTGAGCAGAATTGTTTTCTATTACTTAAGAAGAATGCTCCCGAGATTCCAATCATACTGAGTGCATTTAACTTTTTTATCAGTATTGCATGATCTATGGTATCAAATGTCTTTTTCAAATCCAGAAATATGGCCAAGTTGAGCTGTTTTTTGTCCATGTTGTCATACCAATAGTCAGTACCATTTATCAGGGATGTTATAGTAGAATACAGTTTTCGAAAAGCAGATTGATTGGGGTAAATATTTTGTTCGCTATGAGATATATAACAAGCTGATCGTGAACTATTTTTTCCAACAGTCGAGAGAAAACTGAGATGATAGAGATAGGTCTATAATTGTTTCCATCCTTTTTTAGCCTGATTTAAAAATCGATGTGATTTTTGCCAATTTCCAGATATCTGGAGATCTTGTCCGGGCCTGGTGCCTTTCTATTCTTCAATTGTTTGATTGCATTTAGCACATATGTTTCATCGATATGTGCAAATATCATTTTGTTTTGCTGAACATTGATATGGTTGAGAGAATCGTCATCAGGCCTAGACTCTAACTTGATAGCAAGTTTCGGTCCTATGGAGGTAAAATGATGATTAAGTGCTTCAGCTATATCTTTCTCTTTTGTAATTGTTTTCCCCTCTACATATAAGCTCGAAATTTCTGTTGAAGGGGGTGCTTTGTCTAACACCTTATTGATAACCTGCCACATTCTTTTAGGATCTCCCTTATTTTCTTCGATTAAATCAAGATAAGGTGATTGTATTGCATCCCGAATTTTATGCGTTACCTTATTACGAAGGTGCTTCCATCTTTCGTCGCTTCCTTAGCTGCGACCCTCTCTTTCATTAGGTTCCTGATGTCTGGGGTGATCCCCGGGAGTAGAAGTATTGCCTAAGCTCCTTTTCTTCAGGGGTGCATGGATATCTAAAACCAACTCAAAGATCTCCTGAAAAGTGGTTACCATCTTATCAGGATTATCAGCGTAAGAGTTAAGGATGGTTTCCCAATCTATTTGCTGCAGGTCGTTGCGAAACAATGCCCTGTCATAATCGCTCAGACAGCGAATCTCCAAAACTTTTGGTTTTTTATTTTTGATTCGCCAGGCATTCACTTTTCTTATTCCGTACACCAAATAGTGGTCAACTATCCCTAACTCTAGAACGTCTGCCTTCAATATGTATTTTGGGCTAGTTGTTGAGAAATGGTCTATTAGCATTTTACTGATATTTTGTTCATTGCGCTCATTCGTTGCTACAGCTACTCGAGTGTAGGAATGACCCGATCATCCCTGGACGCTGATTTTTTGTCCCTTTTTAGTCTTTAGATCCCCATTTGGTACGACATATCACCCCTTGCCAATCCAAGAGCAATCTTCCTGCCCCTGCTATATTTACCTGATGTTCCCCGTTAAAAGAGAGTTCGCCTGGGTTGTTACACAGGGGTGTATTATTTCATTTTAAAATAAATCGGTTAATTGAAAAGAGGCTTCAATGAGGGAAGTCGACATGCTGCCAAGCTTTAGCAATTGAGTTCATCAAGGGGCCAGAAGGGGATGGAGTCGGCATAAGTCTATACCTTTTTGTGGTAGTTGATCAATGATCAGTGAAGAGTAGAAAAAAGGACTACAATAGACCCAGTGGTGTTTGAAGGGGTGAATAAAATGTACAGAGAAAGGGTATACCGGGATCACGGTATAGGGTGAAAAGGTTTTAAGAAAACACCAAGCCCCAGCCCCCCAGCCCTGCTTCTAAACCTGTGACTTAAAGCTCCAAACCCCCTTGTATCAGAAACATGAAAAGTTACGAAAAAAACAGCTGAGCTATGTTCTTTGTGAGAGAAAACCATTAATAAGTCATTTTCAGCTAAATTGTTCTGCTTCACCACAGTGTAAAGACTCTCACAAAAATTTTCAAGAAAAAATGTTTCTGACACACATCAATAATTCCACAAAGAGTTTCTTTCTTTCATTTTATTGAGCATTGAAGCCTGATTTTTCAACTTTGACTAATACTATCCTACTGATAAGTATAACCCTGTCATTATCATGCAGATTACATGATTTGCAATGGTTCTAGGTCCTATTGCTGATATATTTTCCACATTTAAAAGAACAATCACAGAATTACGAAACGTTTATGTTACCAACAAAACCTTTCTCGATATGAAACAATATCCCAAATGAAACCAAAAATGATTTGGAACAATATCCTAAAAGAACTCAAATACGCTCAATCTTTGGCAATAATCAAAGGTAAAATAAAGACCTAAGCATTTTTCCTCTACCCAGCATCTTAAGGTAGACTTTAGGACACTGAGAAGCTTATGCTTATCGAGCAGTGTCCTGGTCCTTTCTCTCGATGTGGCCACACCTCATGATTCCTATGCCTAAAATTACAGAGCTTGCGACTGTCCTCACTCTTAGATAAAGCTAGGTTATGTCAGGGACTAGAACTGTGGATCCTTGCATCGGTAGTCTGCAACCCTAACTACTGACCCATCCTCACAGCTAATTTCAGAATTTTAATGCACCTGCGACCTGTACAGGCAGTAACTCTATATTAGTAACGTCGGAATGATCGATTAATCACAACGTAAGATAAAAGATTGGCTAAAACTTTCCTATCAGCAAGGTTTGTGGTTTTCTAGGGTTATTGCATCTCCGAGTACCATCAAGAAAAGTGGAGAAAGAAAATTGATGTATTCATCTACATTAATGGCAATTAAGGATGACCCCTAGAAAGAGCAGCTCGTTAGGTTTTTAAATGCCTTATCAGCAATTCTGCATCTATGTACATTTGCTGATAAGGCATCATGCCTAAATATTTACAATATGATATGATAAATACCTAGAAAACTGAAATTTAAGCTAAAAAATAGCAAGATATAAATGGAGCGACAGAGCGAAACCATAGCACATGCCTACAACGGAGTTATACTATTGTTTCGAAACTCTTAACAGTATCTAACATCCGATAACAAAAAACCAATAGCGGAATTCATAACTGGAGGCGGATCGAAAGTAATAATGGGTTTGACGTACGAAATAAGAATAGCTTTGTCAGTTTATATATTTGAAGCCATCAACTTTAGATTAAACAGTTTATTGTCAAAAAAAACAGACAGACACATTGAACCTAAAATTTCATAAAACTCTAGAAAGGCATCAAAAGATGTAGTTGTGCGATTTCAACCTGCCAAACAATTAAACATTAATGCCACAAACCATACGAGAGAGAAACTGGCTGCAGTAAAAACAATTCGTTCTATATTGTCAATGTTTCTCATTTGCTACTTTATATTTGCTGACGATATTTTAAGAAATCAACTTTAGATTCAACTGTTTATTGTAAAAGAAAACAGACAGACAGTAATTAGACAGGTGTTATAGAGTTTTGATAGGCAGGTGTGTAACAGTAATATAAATCGGGATTTGATGCCCAGTACATACGAACTCTTCCATAGTGACGGTGGTTTTGTGAAAGTAGACATGAAGATTTTCTGTAGAAACAACTGCTGAGATCAAGATTAGAATGATCAAAAGGTCTACTAAGAATGACATTTTTATCGAATGAAGAAAATCATTAGCAAAAGACGAGCTTGCTGCCAGGGTGCAAGAACAAGTACAGGTATGAATGAGACTTCTGGAAATGGCACAAACCCTCTGTGCAGGACTTTGCTTCCAAACACGATTGGCAGGTTGAGCCAAACTATCATAGGGTATACAGGAATTCTATTTGTCCTCTTTAATGTCATGTCAAATGTCCTTTTAATTTTTGCGTTGCACAAGTCGAAACAGCTGCGAACGTTCTCGAACAAGATTATCCTTTTAATGTCTATCTCCGATTTGTCTTTTGGAATTTTCGTCTTGCCAGTGCTGGCAATGTTTTGGATCACAGGAAAACAAAGGAATTGTCTCGAGCTCAAAACAGTTGAAATTCTGACCGTATTTTTTGGATATGTTACATGTTTTACGATTATTTGTATCTCAGTTGATCGATATCTTCATGTTACAAAACCAGCTCGATATCAGACGCTCATGAACTCTCGTCGAAGGACTGTATCAGTAGTTCTTTGCCTGGTTACTGGGTTTCTTACTGCTGTTATCTGCGCTGTTGTGGCTTCATTTTACCAGCAACTAATAATGGGCATTGTCAATATTATACTTATAACAATTTTTCTCATATTGAACATAAAATCTCATAAAACTCTAGAAAGGCATCAGAAAAATATGGTTGTGCGATTTCAACCTGCCAAACAATTGAACATTAATGACACAAACCATACGAGAGAGAAACTGGCTGCAGTAAAAACAATTCGTTCTATATTGTCAATGTTTCTCATTTGCTATTGTCCTTACAACATTGCTTCCGTTATGTGGACTTATCATAGATTCGAAACAGAATCAGCTCCAGGAGTGGTTTTGGACACCTTCTATGAATGGAGTTGTATACTCATGTTTAGTGGCACTTTTCTTAACTCGTTAATAATTATTCGTGGCAATTCCAAATGCCGCAAATTTGTATTATCGCTTTTATGTAAGATCAGCGTAGATAATTAGTGAAAAATTAATACTATGTTGACGATATTTTCTAAGATATCCTGCAATATCACAATGAAACCTTACTTTATTTTGTCAAAAAAAATCTTTTCTAGATGAAATAGCATATTTATACTTACACACCACTCAACCACGGCCTAAAACATTCTTAGAATAGACAAAAGCTGTGAAATCATTCAATTGAGCCATCTTGCGTTAAATTTAGTTAAATTGAGGCTGATTTTCTGTTCCAGAGAACTCAGTTCTCAGTTCAGAACGAACCAGAGTAGCGATTCCATTTGATTTTGATTAAAAAGTGCTGTCGATTTGTCTTATCGTAGTTTTTGTCATTTTTGTCAAACTTGGTCATTTCGAAATATGAGTAATAAGGATTTAGATAAATGCAAAAGAAACCAAAGGGAGTATAGAAGGATAAAACGCTGTCAGAGGCACCAGATAAACAGGAGCAGTGCAGCTCAGGTCACCTTAACTTTTTAAAAGGAGTGTTCTTTGCTAAATAAGCTGTGTTTTGTGAAGAAACTTCTAGTTTTTTGCAATTCCTAGTTCCAATCCAAACACAAACGGAACATACTTGATGTTTCTTTCAGTAAAATCAAGAGATATCTCAAGCAACTTTGGCATCTTTTGAAAATCTCCTTTTTTACTTACTTTTCCCTGCAACATTCCCCGATTCAAAGATTCTTTTCGATTATGGATATGACTGTCAACTTATTGTTCCTGTGATATTTGGTCTGAATTTTTTGTTGAATTAAGAAAATTTCAAGCCGCATACCAAATAGAAAAATTACACAAAAGCAGCAATGTTGTAACCAACGGTTAGTTTTCTGATGTTAATTTGTCCCTAATTCGTCACAGTATGGCTATCGAAAACGCAAATACCCATTACCACAGATAATAAACCAAGCCAAGGATGTCTTTGCAGCAACAGACCTTTACTGGAATATCGCATATTCTTTACAGTTCCATAAGAATAGCAAAATTTGATTCACAAGAGGCAATACAAAGCTTCACAGCGAACAAAAAACACAAAATCGAGAAAAAAGATTAATTGTAGTTGAGACATCTAGTCAGGGTAAATAACATCTTTGGCAGATTGAGGGCTGCATAATTATGCGTTCCACAAGGATAAGTCCTGGTGCCTATATTTTTCGACAATTTTATAAAAGATAAGTTTCTAGTGAAACTGAAAATGAAATATGCAGGAACAGAGAACTAGACTGATGATGCTTTCATTTTGCATGTATGAAGTTAAATGATCCCTCATCGAAGCTTGAGAAACAAAGCCTAAAAATTAGCAACTGCCATTCAAAAAACCACTTGAAAGTAATAAAATGACACAACTGATAATTGATGTTGGGGAAACTTTGAGTGAAATGACGAGAAAAAGAATGTTTTGGAATTTATTAGAAGAATGCTTTTAAAAACAGAGCAACATCTCCACGACGGAGCGAAATAGTGCATGAAGTTGTCTAGGAGATCGAAGTAAGCTATTGCAAAATTCTGAACAAATAGCCCCCCCCCCAACCCTCCATATAAGGCCCCCATTTAAGCTCCCAAAAAACTGTCTTTCAACCCTTATAAGCCCTGGGCTTATATTCGGCATTTGATAGCATATATCAATCAGTGTAGTGACATCATAAAGTTCAAACAAGACAACCACCTGCAACATTTTTTTTGCAACCAGTTGTTACCTAGTCAAATATTAAATATAAATATGTTCTTACTCACGGTGTCAAATTTGGAATGAAATTCCAACATTAATTAAATCCCAAAAGCTAAGCACCAGACACCACCAAACATGGCGCTTGCAAAATTAGTATTTATGTATCACGTTATACTCTCTTCATATTCCTACCAATACATTTTTAATTATTTACTTCTGATACACTCAGTATTAGTTCTAATTTGTTTGTTACCTTTGTAATTGTATACTATTTTTAGCTCTAGGTTATAATGTTATGTATTATTCTTAATTCTACTGTTGTAAAACTTCTTCGATTAAATCACACTGTTTTTGTTTTATAAGAGAAAACTTTTCTCATATAACGATTCAATATCGTTTACAGCAAGGCAAAGGCGTAGAATCAGTGAGACAACAAAAAAACATTGGATATTAAGCAAAATTTACCTGGAGCACACTTTATATGCAGGCATTCTCAACCAGCTTTTGTAAAAAAATTTGAGACTCTGCAGAAAGGCAAAAATGAGAAAAAACTATTGTACAGGCCTAGCCCAAAAATATTACAAAGGGATGGCAGACAAAAGGTGTTTATGACGCTGAGAGACAAAAGGTCCTTTCTGGGGGAACTGCAAATTAATAGATCTGAGTCCTCACCAGATGTTATATTGAAGTGTAAAAAGAAGCTAAGTTTAGAAACCTAAGCAAAATGAGGCTAGAAAAATCATAAGAATGCAATTTTCCAGTTAGATAAGAAAAAAGGCTCTCTCAAAGCAAAAATTAATCGTGGTCGACGAGTACTATGATTTTCCCTTTAGTGTTACGCAGTTTTAAAAGTAGCTAGTGTAAATTCAATAATTTCATGAAATTTTAATGTTTTCAATGGTTCAGTAAACTTTATTTGAGACTTAATAGTTTGATTTTGTATTTTTCGTTGTAAATTTCTTTGGTATGCAAATGTGAATCTAAAAATTGAAATATTCTCTAAAAAATGCCAAGGTCGTGTGAGAATCACAGAAACATATTTTCAACATTAACGAACTTCATAAAACTACTAAATATTTCTGTTGCAATTGAAAACAATTATTTGAGGTTAAGAGAGTTCCTAGCAGTGCCTAGTTTAAAGAAAAACAACTGCTTGTGAAACATTGCATATAAGCTACAAAGTATTGGTATAATTAGACTCAAATAAGTAGTGATTAAAATGCAAAATAAGAAATCACTGGAGAATTTTGCTTGCAAAAATATACAAGCCAAACTCATAGAACTAGCGCCAAAATCTAAATTTCATTTGCTGAAAATTCTACACATGGTGTCAGTTAAAAAAAATTGATTCTTGAAAATCCTTTTCTAGAAACTGCCCTTTTTAGAAACATATTTTTCTATCTCATTTTTAACCTCAATTTGTCCTATTTCCTGGTTTTTGGTTCTAGTATTGACTTAAAACTCCATGACAAAAATTTTCCACATCTCTGGTAAACTATAACCAAAAGCTTATGAATTCAATTGTCTTTGCTCACATTTGCCATAAATCAAATGATGAAAAAAGTTATGGACTTGTTGAATATGACGACATATACCTTTCATATTTTGACAATTATTTTGTACATTTAGAGACAATTCACTGTGTTCTTTTTGGTTATGTGGTCAAAACTAAAAAATGATATTATGTTTATAGCCTTATTACCTGCCACAGAATCCTCCAAAGTAGTCAAATAGCTGGGTCTCTTCCCTAAGAGGCAAACAAATGACCTTTATAAACATTCCACATGAGAAAATGTTATACCTCAAAATAACTACTTAAGTTAGTCTGTTATTGATCCAGGGACGAACTTGTTTAATCTACACCTTACTACAAAATTTGGAATTGCAGTACTTATGATTGTGGGTTGGGCTTCAATTGCAGGGGTGCTGCAGCCCCTCAAAATCTATATTTGATCATAAAGCCAATAAATCTTTTAACAATAAAATGGATAGAATACACAAAAGGGCCTTGTGGATTGCAGATAACAATGATGACTCAAATTTTCAATAGCTATTAATAAATTAATAGCAATTAATAAAAGATAATTCAGTCCCTATTTACCATTTCTATGCTATTTACTAGAAGAACCTGCTGATGATAAAAATTTATAAAACAAAATCAGCACTGAATCCTAAATTCATGAACCAAATTTTTGAGGAAAAGATTTTTAAAATTTAAATGAAGGTCAACGGGAAATTTATGGTAACTAAAAACAAAAACAACAAATTTCAGAACAGATAGAGTTAGACTTATTGGGGCAGAAGTTTTGAGAAGCACTTCCTTTTGAATTTAATAATGCTAACTCACAGTGCACTTCTAAATCAGCAGTTGAAACACACGAATGTCAGAGTTGGAACTGCAGGATATGCACAGAATTTTGCCAAGTAATTGGCTTTTTATAATCTATGTTTTAGCAGGTTTTATTTTATATTCTAGTGATCTAGTCATCATTTTTAAGTAGTTTGCCTTAAAATGTTTTATACTAGACTATGTAATTATCCAGTTCTTATATGCTTTGCATGTCTACCAGAATGCAGAGCATGGCAATGGCACACCTGATACAACTAACAGCTTGCTTTATTCAATTTAAATCCAGGAAAAAGTGATGCTAAAATCCAATTAAGTTCTGGTTCACCTGGCACATCCGAGTGATTTCTGTGTACCCGCACCAGAGGTGTGGGGCTGTTGGCACACCCAAGATCTTATCAAGAAGGTCATACTCTGCAAATTGATATGTCTACAGATTGACACATTTGAAAACAGGTTAAGAAACAACAGACAAGGGCTCAAAAAAAAATTTTCTTCCTGGCAGCAAAATAAAATTTCAAGGTTTCCTGAGAAGCTTCAACAGGGTTTCCAGCCACTGAAAGTGATATTTTAAGTTGCATTATTTGTTTAAACTTTTTTTTCTAAAAATAAAGGACTAATTAACTGTCACACAAAAAGGACTAATTGTTGGTCCTTGATTTTTTATCATAGCTATTCGAACAGCAATCATTTTGTTTATACTTAATGATTACAAGATAACAAGTATTAATTAGCACATGTGTTTCTTTGTCTATAAGTGTTTCTATTTATCAAGAATGACCAATGTAAAAAGAGAATGCCAGAATGGTTGGAAAATTGGTATTATAGATGCTGACAATAACTGACGATTGTATTTTGAAAGCTAAACTTTATTCTTTGTTAGTAGTGCAGAACAAAAATTATATAGTATATATACGTATCTTTATCACAAGAAAACAGCATTCCGTAGAAAGAAAGTAACATAAATTTAATATCCATATTAGAATTAAGCAATGGAGATTTTAAGCTAAAAATTTCCTGAGAAACAGCAACAATTTTCTGCAATGAATTTGTACTAAAAATTTCCTGGCAGCCCCGCTGCCAGTACTGCCAGACATTTTCCAGCCCTGCAACAGACTAATAAAAACCAGTTACTTTTTTAGCCATACTTGCCAGTCTGAAATACATGTAGGTTACGCAAGTAATATAGGTTTTAGACTATTGATTTCAATTTTGTTTACTGGCGTATATCTGGTACAAGGATTACACTGATTACAAAAAGTGCTGGTGCAGTACTTGAGGACTCAGGGGATGGGGAGGGAGTCTCACTCGCCAATCTTGTTAAACCTAAAAAGTGAATGATTTTTAATCAATGCTGTTACTTTTTATTTGTTTTTACAATAGCCCCTCTCATTTTAGCATCATATTACAACCAACAACCCTACACATAACCACAATTTAACATTCCCAGGCATGCCCCATTTTTAAAGGAGGCCTGTGGATGTCATGATATGTCCAATGCAAAAATATTCCATTGCAAAAACGAAAATTTTTTGGTGCTTGGTCAGCAAATTTCCAAACTAGGATGGCTCACCAACTTTGTTGGCAAATCAGGGCTTCCGACGAAGGGGGGCCGGGAGGGGCCATGGCCCTCCCACTTCTTTGCCAAACAATAGAGCTTTTTCAAAATCTTTTGTTATGGGTGTTAAATTTTTCCTTGAAACATAATATCACGAGTACGACAACATAATATCATTGCACAACGAGCATAAATAGGTGCAATAAGAGGTAATAAAAAACCAGGAATAACCTGCATTTGTGGTCGTCTTTCTGCAATTCTCAAACATGCCAAGAGTTTACTAAATTGTATTAAAACGCTTTGCAGTAAACTTCTCCATGTCCATGTTCTTCATGTCCATCTCCCAGACTGGAAACTTTGCTTCTTGCGCGGGCAAGTTTATTTTGAAAATTTGAGACTGCGCGCCTGAAATCATGCACACTTAGTTATTTTTATTGTTAATAATGTTAAATCCTATTGTCAAGGGATCTAGGGGATTTTGCGCGGCCAATATGCAAAAGCGCGCAGAGGTGTGCGCGGGCAATATATTGCGGGCGCGCAGCAAAGTTTCCAGTCTGGTCCATCTCCATGTACGCGATGTTTCGAAAAGAGCGCGAAATAGAAATCTCAAACGAGGCTGCGATGGACAATTTGGGAAAAGCCATCATAGAAAAGCAACCATAACTTTTTCCACTAATAACTACCTAAAACCTATTTTTTGTAATACTTTTAGACAAGAAAAGCATTTCAGAAGAATAAGATAGACAAACTTTTTGCTCTCGTTTAAAAGGGTTGTTTTCCAGACAAAAAGTATTTGAGTTCAAAGCACAGCAAATAGCACAGAAATTTTATGATTGTAAATAAATATTCGTCAAGAATAATCATCAACCAAGAAAAAGTACCACTTACGAACCAAGGACTAAATTGCTTTTCAAGAAATTTTAGGAATTAGCTATGACGTTTGTCTGGTTTTCTTGCTCAAAAATTATGGCCAATATATAACTTTAAAAACATGAAAAAATCATCTCATCAACGGCTAAACTCAAAATCTGCCGAGGCCCCATCAAGCTTACCTCCTTGCCGATCAGGTCCAAAAACGATACGTTACCCGTATGGTTTTGCGTTGAGCTCCAATAGCTCTTGAAGTTAAAACTCAGGGGGCAACAAGGATCCCTGGAAGGACTCCCAGGAAGAAGCTCATAGTTTTGGCCTACAATTTGTTGGCAGATGAGGCCTGCGCACTGCTCAAGAGCGAAAAAGCTGGCAATTGCACTGCGTACGCCCTATTTATTTAAGAACAAATTAAGAACAATCCAGCTTCGTATTTTGAAAAAAAAATTAAGAACAGTCAGCCTGAACTTCAATTTACTGAACTTCAAAGTGTATTTGTATCAAAAAACTCCTTTAAGTTTCTATATCTTGCGTCTTGCGGCTTTCTTGTTAGAGTCAGCGCCGTCGCTAGCGGGGGTGCGGGGGGTGCGGGAGCCGGAGTCTAGAATCCAGGAGGACTTAATTTAGACCTAAAGTTTGGGGTTTAGGGAAGGGTCAAAGTTAATTGAAAAACTCTGAACGTTGATCCTGGAGGTACTGGAAGCCACTGTAAGCAGGGAAAGGAGATCAAGTGCTTCAGGGCCTTAAGGTCGAAAAGAAATGACTGCAAGAAATATTCTTAAATGCATTTTAAGACAATTTAAAGGGCGTGGTCGCACAAATTTCCTACTCGCTCCGCTCGCAGAGGGACCTCGTCTTTTGGTTTTACTTCAAGGCCTAAGTACCCACAGTCACTCGAAAATTGAAGCGATGATTGACTAACGAGAACATCCTCTTTGATAAACAAAACTAATTGCGTCAAAATGCCACAACCCCACATTGAAATATCTTAGGCCACGCCCTATTTTGTCGGCAAATTTGTGACTGGAACCCCTCTAAGTGAAAGTGCTTAGCGACGGCCCTGGTTAGAGTGTTCCTTTTTCGTGAAATTGGTAATAGCTGACTGGTAGAAGTCCTCTAGTTGTAACAAAGAGTATTCCGTAGAAAGACTCTTCATTAAACCTGATTCTCAACCCGAGTGAAGCGCTGTGTGTGTTCGAAATCAAAATGGTCTTCGCTGTTCGACAATTTGCCTCAGAAAATCCCAAAACAAGAAAACACAATGATTTGACAGCTACAACAGGATGACACAATTATTTAACAGTTAAATCAGGATTTATGAATGTTTGATCACTGAAAAATGAATAAAACGAATAAATAAATTCTTTATCTATTCATCTACGATCAAATGCCAATTTTTTTTAAAAAATTGAAAAAAAACAACAAATACAAGCAACGGGTTTAGGGAAACCTATATTTTTATTCAATAATGATAGAAAAAAATATTTAATATTACGATAGCTACACATTAGCAAATATAGAATAATCATTAGAAATATCCCTAGTAAGAATGAATTTTCCATATAAATGCTAATTGCGTCTGTATAAAATCTTGCAGGACTACTTCAAACAAATCTGCAGAAAAGCATTAGCTTCTAAATAAATACACTCTTTCCTTAACAAAAATGATAGTATAAAAAAGTTCCCTAAGCTGTGCCCAAAAATATGAAAGCTCTCGGACCTCTAACATAGAAATCATAATTCGTCACGAGTTTTGCTGCTCGTAGTGTCGTCTTCCTCGTTTTTCCTTTGGCGATCTTCTTCTTTTCGTATTTTGTCATCCTCTCTGTCATTTTCAACATGGGTGTCTTCTTCTTCTTTTTGACCTTCCCTACCCTTGCCTTCTTCTTCTGGTTCATCTGATTCCCCTTCATCTGGTCCCCCTTCATCTGGTTCCCCTTCATCTGCTTCCCCTTCTTCTGGTTCACCTTCATCTGATTCCCCCTCGTCTGGTTGCTTTTCTGATTCAGGGCCTTGTCTTTCATCCTCTTCTTGACGCTCACGACTTTCTTCCTCATCTTCCTCCTCAAATATCATACTGAAATACTCTTCCTTCATTCGTTTGGTCACCTTGGCATCCTTAATAAATTTCATTACTTCCTTTTCATTGAAACCGCCTTCATCGAACTTGACTCTCTCACCAGGCTTGGCAAAAATTTCTTCCTTTCCATCAGTAACAATGCCTTTATCGATAAGAAAATATTTCAAAAAAATTTGGACTGTGCTGCAAGTGATTCAAAGACGTAACAAGCAGATAATACAATCACCAGGATAGTTTAGCCAACATTACAAGATAATTTGCATGCTAGATTATAATGTTTGTTGAAAATTACACATAAAAAAGATATGCAAAAATAAAAAGAACAATTCTATAACAAGGGACATCATTTTCAAATGATTTGTCGTGAAACCTCTTTTTGGGGAACAGCTTTTAATAATGGCCTTGAAAAAGCAAACATTTCACAACATATTAAAAGCTTCTCCATCTGGCACTCCTTAAAGTATAAAACGTCAGAATAAGGTTCCGAAAGAACAATATGGAAAATATTAACCTAGTTGTAGATCGAAATAGATCTATCATAAAAACGCAAGCACACGTCCAGAGTATAGTTGTCCACCCAGTTTCATATAACCCAGATTGTGCAAAATACGACATGTTTCAGATAATTTGCAGAGCCCGGTCGTCTTTTCATTATACAAATGAAACATATAAAGGAAAAAACCACTATTTTGTAGACAGAAGGAATTCGTTTTTTCTCTTGAACTAAGGCACGCAGTACTGATTGGACAACTAGGTATAAATTTTCCATCTTGTTGTTCTTTCGGACCTTTCTTCTGACGTTTTATACTTTTAGTATGTTGTAAAATGTTTGCTTTTTTCAAAGGCATTTTTGTACCGCCAAAAATTTTTTCGAACTTCTAATAACTGCAATACAAAGACTAACAGTAATGATTGACGGTATCAACTGACACAAGACATTTCTGTCACTATTTTTTCACTTCAATGCAGGTTCTTTGCTCGGAATAATTCGCAAGCTTCAATTAAATTAACTTGAACGCTAGTTTTGATTGTTCTTAGGGCTATTTTAAACCCTCACGGTACTCCCAGCCTGTACTTACCGATTGACCAATTAAACGCTCCAATTAACAACTGGATCACTAAATGCTTCCCCCCCCCACCCCTGTAATGGCAAAAAAATTTCTACAGAATGCTACTTTGATGAGACCAAAATGTACCCCTTCACTTCCCATTATCAAAAATAATACCAAAATAAAAGATAGAAACTAACCATGTGGGCTCTCTATCAATCTAACAACTGATTTGACTTCTTCCCTTGTGAAGTTTTGAACCATTTCTAAATCAATGTAGTCTTTTCCACCATTCAAACTCTCAAAGACATTTTTAGCCTTGCTATAGTTCATAGCTATTCGCATGTGTGGGAATGTGAAGCCAAATCTTATGAAATGCTTCCAATACAATTTCCCATCTTTATTTCGAAATCGATCTTTACTTTTAATTGCCTCTACCATCCTATATTTTGTCAGCTCGTCATTCATGAAACCCATATCAATTGTCTCGTCTCCTTTCTTGTATGTCCACCGAAAATCAATATCGCTCATCTTATAATATTTTTCCATCACATCTGGAGTACAATCTTTACTTGAAAAGCTTTCTTGCATATCAGCAGTGAAAAGAGTGGTAACTGCGATACTTCGGCCATATGAACGGACTTGATGTATATAAACTGAAATATCAAGTTTCATTAGCCAGTTTTAAGTAAAAAATTATCGAAATAATAGATACTGGCAAGGGCTACAGGATTGATGAGTTTATTAGAACAATTATTTACTGACAAAATATTCGTCATATTAAAGAGCTTTAAACTATAGCGGCACATTAACTCATGTTCCTAGCTTCTATAGGTTGGCCTAGATAAAGAAATATTTTTCTGTAGACCATCAAAGATTCATTCAAGCTACACCTGATTCAAATAATGAAATTTTCAAAGAGTTTTTGATGAGGTTGAAATGATTCACCTATCCATAATAAACTTCATGCAAAAAAATTTGTTTGCATTACATTTTCCAAGGTAAAGATACATTCTTAAAATCTAGAGATAACAGGGATAACAATAAATATCAGAGATGCAAAGGACATACCACTTGGAATAAAAATACAATCTCCTGGATAGAGTGTTGCCCATGTCCAAGGAACCTTACCATGGTTTGGATACAGATTCATATCAATTTTATCTGGGTTTATTTTTGAAAACCCAGAGCCAACTCCACGTGGCTGCAACAAAAAAATTTGCTGTAAATTTATTTTCTCTAAATAGGCATCCATAATCTACACTGATTTATCACTGCATGTTAAAAACATAGGCAAAAGTTACGAATTGCATAAAGAAGAAACAGGAAAAATGATGAATTTTTAGCAACTGATTATGTATTAAAAGCATAGAGTTAAATATGTTTTAGTCAAAACATAGAGTTAAATAATTTACGATTCAGTAATTGATTGCAGAAACTTCATGGACTTTCGAAAATGTGTAACTTGGATGCATCAGTTATTTTGAAAACCGAGGAATTTTTCCTTCCTATGACTATATTCTTCAGTGATAAACCCAAGGAGAGACACTCAAACTTTTTATATATGGGGAAGTCTACTGCAGTCAACATTCACCTCAAAGTATCAAAATCAAATTTAAGAGACCCAGAATTATCAGATAAATCTTGCTGTTGAGCACATAAGAATCTATTATTCATAGTAATGTAGACTGTTTCCTATAATAATCAGTTTAATCACGTATGTTCTTTTATTCTCTATTGATAGTGTTATGTGTTGAGCCCATAAGTATCAAAAAGGTATATGGCTAAATCAGATGCCCAAAAGGATCAGATCACAAGGAAAATTCTTACCCATAATTATCAAATGGCCCTCCCTGAATACAAAAAGTTCAAGTGACCTCTCTGGGCAAAAAGCATGGTTAGCCTGTCTAGCAAACCAGCTATTGAACCTATTTTGATCTTTTTGGCTGTTAAAGCAATTCACCGCATATTTTTTGGAATACTGTCTTCTGTGAAACAACGAAAGGAGGCATTTGGCTTTGAATAGTGCTCTTCTTCCAAATTCCCTTTCCCTGCCTCTTTGAATATGATGAAAAATCACTTAAAGATTTTTCATGTTCTTTCATCTAAGAAGTGTCTACAGACTTTCAGATAAGTGAAACTCAATGTCCCTGACAAGAATTTCATTTTATTTTGATTCAGCAAATCTTTTGAGTCATTTAATCTGCTTCATTCACTTCGTTACATAGCACTTTTTGAAAGGCAGGTCCAGGGCATGAAAACCCACCCGACCATGTGACCAAGCAGTCACAGGAAATTTTTTATAATTAATTTTCTGCAGGAAATCTTTTTAAAATATACTCTTTTGCAAGAAGCACCTTAGTTTCTTTCACATTCATGGAAAGAAAAAAACATGAAGACAAAACAAATGTATCTTATGTATGTGCCTTTCACAGGTTAAAATGGGTTTTCTACCTAAGAACACTTGAGAATGTTTTTGAAAATTCTTGTTCCATAAAAGTTTAAATTTTTTCATCTGGCTATTGTTATATTTTTCAGTCACCAAAACAGAAACTAACCTTGTTGTGGTAGTATAATTGGTTAAGCTTTTAAATTTTATAGAACTGGTGACACATCATTAGGGTTTTTAGCACATGATACTTTCTTCTTTTATCTTCCCATTCTAGCAGGAAATTTATGCATGATTTTTGTCTTGTTGAAGGAAGGAAAACATTTTTTCATGCCCTGTGCAGCTCCACAAGTGATAATATAAGCTAGAGACAACAGCAAAATAGGTTTCGTTAAGTAAATGAGTCACCTTACATGATATGGCACCACACCACTGCCACATGTCAAGAAAGTCTAAGTTTTGTTCCAAGCATATTTGGGTTTGATTTTAAGGGAGGCGATTCGCCTCTTAAATTCATGATTCTGTATATTTTACCAGCTCGTTTTGTTTCATTTTTTTCATTTTCCTTGAATATAATGAGCCTCAAAGTTTGCAGGGGCCCAAGGGTTTAAGAATAATTCTCCTACTTAAAGAATAACAAAACTCTTCAGTAGTTTTTAGCGTCACAGAATATTTAATGAAAATGGATGATGTAGCTAATCAATAAGTACATGTTGTTCCATATAGCATTCTATCCTACTTGCATTCCAAATCTCATCCATTACTCCAAAAGATAAAGGAAACCCATTGGTATCCTAACTGTCAGAAAAACCCACGGAGGTGAACAGCAAACATCATATACAGTTTTTGATGTGCTTGATACAACTACCAAAAAACTGATTACCTAAATGAAGCATTATACATTTGTAAACCTTTTTCGCATTACCTTTGGTCCAAAATAGAGATCTTCCGAATACTTATTTTCAACCATCATGAAGTCTTTCCTTCCTGCAATCATGCAATGCAAGTTGTGGTCTGCATCATAATGGATAACTGATCTAGTTCCTCCATTGCTTATCCATAAATTTGATTCATGGGTGAAATTCTTAAAAGTTCCACACATAACGCTTGGCACTGCCTGCAAAAATTTTAGAAAATCAGAATAAGCAGATCTTTGGAAAAGCTATGGATTTTGCATCAAGTTTAAAAGTTATATTTAGGTGATATATTTGAAGTTCTGTTTGATGAATGTAACATATTAATGTATATATAATTCAAAGATCTTATTTTCTTTTTCAGATAAAAGCTTCAAAAGTTGTGTGTGTGAATAGAGGTAAGGCCATGATAGCAGGCTGCTCGATGGACTCCAATGGAATTCATGTTGGAATCCAATAGAATTCATGTTGGAATCCAATGGAATTTTCACAAGTTTTGTTGGAAATTTATTTTTTTACAAAATATTTCTCAAAAGTTATCTTTATAAAGCATAAAATGTTTAAAAATGTATATCATAAAAATTTCTAGGCAAGTAGGCTTTGCAAATAAACTTGTGCACAGAATTTTTTTTAACTTTTTTCATGTTGGCCGCCCTTTTCAGGGGGAGTGTGTACTTCTTTCATAACAATAAAAATTAGAACCTTTTTGCATAAGGGCATAGGGGCAAAAATGTTAAGCAGCAAAATATTTTCTGTCAACTTTTTTATAGTTACTTAAAGGACAAGTGACACGCTTTTGGCGCCAAATTTTTTTTTTCTTTTAACTTGTAGTAAAATGCTGTATGAGAGTGTTGTTGAAATATTTTTCCTTTCTGATTTCATTTTCCCACTTAAAAAGCCATTAAAAATTATGGCGGGAAATGAATCACGTGACACCGTGACGTAGATTGTGATAATTTGTTATTGCTGCTACTGGTATAGAGTGCAATATTAACGTTTACAACACGCTTGTAAACGAATACAGTTCGTCTGGACCTGTCGCGTCGTGTTTCGTAAACTCTCTATCAATTACAGGAAGATTCTGAGTTATCACAATGTACGTCATAGGGTCACGTGATAAAAAGCAAAATCGCGCCCCCTGCGCCCCCTGATTATAATTTTTTGTTCCAAACCAGGAAAAACTTACTTCTAAATGATGATCTATAAGTTAATGAAAAGAAAAGATAGGGTGAAAAGTGTGTCACTTGTCCTTTAAAAAGAGTTCAATCACTTTTCTGCCAGACATCAGTATTTCTATAAAGAATTGCTCTTTCAATATTGTGCATTTTTTCTAGATATTCACTACTGCTAGAGCAGCACTGGAGTTAATATGAGTTTGCAACAACAACAGGAAAATTTGAGATAAGGAAGAAATAGGATGGCTGTTTTCTCACACAGTAACCCATGGTGATTTTCCAGCACTCCAAGATTCTATTATAAATATTTATTGGACTATTATCAGGGTGGAAAACATCTATTCAGCCTTAATTCACTGTAATGCTGAATTCAAACACACAGAAAACAACTGAAAATGTTCACTGAAGTTGTCAAAATTAAAACTGTTCTAAAAATATATATATTGTTTCTTTGTGCTTGAATAAAAAACCAAAACATTCTTTTAAAATGGTCAAAACAAATAAAAAAGTGGGCTAACTTTTCTTTAATGCACAGCTTCATAATTTTGAATTGGTCCAGAAGAAAAATGGGGACAAATTTGTCAGGGGAGCTTGGTTTCCTGATCTAAGAAAGCACCGCGTAAGTTTCATATCTTTTTCACGGTCTAAATCAGGCCTAAAAAGTGGGGGGGGCTAAAACCGTATAAAAAGAGGCTTTACTGGTAGTTTATTACTTAATATTTGGCCTATTTCGCAAAAAGTGGGGGGGGGGCTTTTTAATGCTTATGAGAAGGTCTTCCAGTTTGTTATCAGCATGCAAAAGATGTAGCATGTTTCTCATAAAAAAGGGCGGGGACTAACTTCCCGTAGGTATCCACTTTATAAACTTTTGGCTGGAAAATAAAGTTTGAGCTGATATTAGTTGCTGAAAAGGGCACCATTTTGCACAGTTTCAAAATTTCTCCTAGCGTGCCACTGTAAGAAAGAGGTACCCAATTGAGACCATATTGAGAGGTGGATTGTTTGACATGCAAAATACATCTAAAAACGGAGAACCTTACTGAACAATACTTGGTCCCTCAGAAAAAATTATACGCAACATCATACAAGTGCTCCTACACAAAAGGTTTTGTATCCAACTGGCAACATTTTTTTCTGTGATTTTGTTCTGTGACCGCATAAAGGGCTTTGCTGTGATCGAAAGGGGATGGTCAATTATTGTCGGGATTGTTGGGTATAATTTTTTGCTACGAGTATTCAACAATTTTACGCAAAGATTTTCCCCTCACCTGCACATCTTCCATCATTTCTGATGGCAGCATGCTGACAACATAAACTTCCTCATCTTTGTAAATTTTTAGAAAATCCTTCAGTCTCATACGACCAGATGAACTGGATCTGTTTTCTTTCTTCAATTCAACAAGCACGTCCAAGTCACCAAAATATTTTGCCATATACTCATCAGTCCAGCTCTTCAAAGCAGGTGACTTTTTAATAGCTTGTCTGTAAACCAAGGGAATGTGGGGCTTGACGTGGTTTTGCCAGAATTCTTCGGCTGCGAGTGGTTCGCTGTACACTTTCACAGGCCCTTCAGGGTCTCGCTGAAGTCCGAACGGTTTCAAATGCCCAATAGGCTCACCAGAGATCTCTACAACTGGCTGTGGAAAAACTACAGCTTCTGGAGCACCACCTGAGCCCCATTGCACTCCACTAGCTAATAGAAGTGTTGAAATTACTTGCAAAAACATTTCGCAATTTGTCTGCTTCTCAGTTCTCGTGTGCAGCAAGAACGGCGAAGATAATTTCTTCCTCTTCAATCCAATTCAACATTTGGAAAGAAGCAGGAAAGTTCCGGGTGGCTAGGCTACGCAAGGCTACGTCAAATGTCGCCATGGAAACAGTCGGAATAATATGATATAGAAAAGTTTACGGTAAACTCCCAGGGGCGGATTTAAGCAACAACGATGAGAGGGGGTGCTAAACACTTATTTTGGTGCCACACCCTTCAGGTCACTGGTAAATGATGAAAACGAACATATTTAAAATTCGGTTTTTAACTTTGAGGGGTGTAGCCAGTGTTGGAAGATTGGATGGGCAAAAAGGAGAAAATTCTTGCTGACAAGACCTTTAGGAATTTGGGAAAATACCCCATTTCGTAGAGGCATTTTGAAAAGATATGGCTTTTGCACGTGGCAATTTCGCTTTATACAACGTCATAGGTAGCTTTCTGCGGCTGACCCCATTCTACAAATGTCTATTATCTTCACAATTCCTCTAACGTTTATATTCTGAATTGTGCATGACGCGGAAGCACTACGTGTAAAAACTGATTTCCAAAGTCGTAATCAGTTTTTTCAAATATCTAAAAGTAATAAACAGTATTCAAAAGTTGCAAACTATGTAAATCCGTTCTCCTTGGAGCAAAATCCCGACATACATTTCCGAATTCAGTTTTTTAAGGATTGAAGCGCTTTAGCATTAATGCATTTTATCGGTAATGTCTAAAGAACGTGAAGGACTTTACCAAATAAACCCTAAAACTAGGGAAAATCTTTGCACATTCTGTAGAGATACAGACGAGGTTCCCCTGCGAGCGAAGCGAGTAGAAAATTTTTGCGACGACACCCTTGAGATAAGCTTAAAATAAATTTCAGAATATTCCTTACAGTCGTTTGCATGCAGTCTTTAAAAGCGCTTTAATAATGTATGAGATATAACCCCCCCCCCCCCTCTAAGGTACTAATTCTACTGCAGATTTGCACTTTCCTCAGACACCAAGTTTCTGGCTATTGATAAGAAGATAAATACTGGTAAGAAGATAAATAAAGTAAAATCTTGGCGTTACTTTGTTTGTATTGACTACCAAAAACTATTTTTACCAAATGGAACAAAGTTTACCGAATAACACAGAAATATTAGGGGGTGTCGCACACCCTAAATTCCCCCGCTAAATCCGTCAAACCCCAAAACGCTTAGCTCTAGTTTGAGGGGCTGGAACTCTCTTTTCTCCTCATATTCCTCTCACTTTTGATTCTCCAAGATTATGAAATAAATTCCAGTCAGACGAGCATGATATAGGCAGGATACAAATTTTTAGGACTTTCTGTCCTCTGTCCTGCAATACTTAGATTTGCCCTTCTTCCTGGGTTCTTGAAAGAAATACATAAACGCAAATGTAGGCAAAAAATTAGCCAAAGCCCAAGCCTTAGCCTAGACCATGGCTCTTATTTTATCATAAGTTAGAAGTTATTAGGAACACAGTCATATACATATAGCTTTTTATATATCAACCCTTCAATAAACATACCTAAATTTAAAAGTAAGTATCGGCCAAATTAAAAAAATGTTCTGCTTTTAAAAGTTTTGCAATTGTCACCTCGCTGCTATTGACCCTTTATCTCAAGGAAATTTGGGTATAACTGTCCTTAACTTTGTGTGAGTATGTTAAAATGTCGATCACCATTGCACAAAGAAGAGTTAAGGATACCCAACTGATGGCATAACAGCCAAAAGGCCCAATAATGTTGGAAGCATTAGCGTTCTTTTTTGCACAAGTCACATGTTTGATTCGCTTAAATTATTTTGCGCCTAATATTTTGCAAATTCATGTACCATAGCATGGCTCAAAACATTTTGAGACAGGACATCTGGGTATAACTTTCCTTACCCTTGTGTGTGTTAAGATATTTTTATTATTTTTATTATTTTTATTACTCAAGTTATTTTTACGCCTAACTACAATTAAAGTCAGATTAGTTAAAAATATTTTCAAGGTTTGAAAATCTGGAGCATAGTTTCTAAAGAACATCAATAGAATACATTAAAAGCCATTATATTCAGACTTATTTATTTAGGATGAATCATATTTATTTCGACCCAATTTCGACCCAATTTCGACCCAATTTCGACCCAATTTCGACCCAATTTCAACCCAATTTCGACCAAATTTCGAGCCAATATCGACTCAATTTCGTACAAATACGTCACTTAATATCATTGAACACAATATTCCTTATAGATATGCAGAGCTGCCTTGGCTACAGTGAAGATGCCCTGGCTTGGTTTCAGAGATTCATTTCTCGTTTTGATGATTCACTTGATTTAGTGGAATGATCGTTGCTTTTTGATGCAGCAGCCTCGAGCAACTTTGCGGACAAATATTTATCCTGTCCCTAGTATTCTTTGAATGTTTTAATTGTTATAAAATGTAAGTAAAGTAAGAATTGACAGTAAATAAGTAAATAATGTAAGTAAATAAGATGACAAAAAAATCTTGATAATTTTATTGACAAGAAATCTTGATAATTTTGCAATTCAGTAAACTTGATATAGAACTTACTTACATGTAAAGTAAATCCAGATGCTTTCAACCTGTTCATATTCTAATGCATAGATGAATTGAACCTCAGCCAACAAATTATGTTTATTTTCTACAGGTATGCAAGTATGTTTATTTTCTAAAAATTCTTTTCATTTTTTGGCTCGCATGGTATCCGCGAAAAGGATCTTTCAAGCTACTTTACTGTTCCGATCCTCTTTTTTCAAAACTCCTATGAACGCTTCCATTAGGATTTTGTTCCTGGCATAAGCTAACTACTAACAAATTTTAAGTGGACTATATCCTTTATCCCACATCAGTTTTTAGGTTGTGGCTCACCTCGCTATATTTTAAGGGCTGTTCTTTCCAAGTTGGGTAAATGAGTACCAGTGGAAACACTGGGGCTAATAACTAGTCACCGACTATGAGGGGCGCACCCATCGTCTGTACGATGTGCAGAGTGACTGTGCGCTAGAACGCCTACAGCCGGGTTGTTAAGTGACGCAATGTAACTTGCACGGGACGCATTGTAGTCAGTTTTTGATTTAAAGCTTTCGTCTTTTGTGCTCAGTTTGGATGACTAGATTTAACCTTTTCAAACTACAGTTTCTCGGTTGTTGTCTCATGAAAAGATTGATAGAAATATACAAAGAGAAAACATAAACATAAAATATTTAGGTTTTAGCTTTCTACTAAATTTTTCCTTAAAAGTTTATAATTCGGGGGAAAAACTCTAATGAACCCCTGACCAAAGGTTGCTTATGAAGAGAGCTTGTTCAATAAAAATCATTTATTACTTCATTACTCTACTATTTTCGGTTTACATTAAAAATATTGAAGAATAAAGTACAGAAAAAACTTATGTAGAATAGCAACACAAAATGGCAAAATACGTAAACAAATGACAAAATATGTCTAAAGGGAGCTTCGGGTGTCCAAGAGTCAGTGATAAAATATTCAATGTTTGCCTTGCGCCTGAATTTCTGTCACCAAAGACTGCAGAAACACCATAAAATTGCAAGCAAGAGCCAGTTGAATCCGAGGGCCCTTGCTTCATTTGCTGACTTCTTTCCTTCCTTCCTGCAGTTATCAAGAGCCTCAAGAGATTTGGCATAATTCGGATCAAGGTATTGATCGTACTTTTGGAAGCCTGGCCCAACCACTCTGAGATGAATTGTATCGTCAGAGAATATTTTCTTGTCAAATAACCTTGCACCTGCAACCAGTATTGCATTTTGCATCCAAGCTTGGTATTCGGCCAGGTTAACGTTATTGCGAGCGAGCAGAGCACGGGCCGGTGCACGGGCAAGATTACACTTGGCGAAGTTGGTCGCATCTACAGAGCAATGAATTTACAATTGGAAGGCGAAGTGGTTTGAAGAAGACGAGAGAGTACTAGCCTGCACACAGACTCAACTGGTTTTCCAACCGACGAGTTTAGTTACATGAATCCAAGTTTAGTTGAATGGAAAGTTTTAGGGTTTGTAAATCCTTAAACTTCCCATTGAACTAAACTTAAATTCATTTCCATTCAAGTAAACTTAGATTCATGTAACTAAACTCGTCGGTTGGAAAACCAGCTGAGTCTGCGCGCAGGCTAAGAGAGTACCAGTAACGCAGCTAGCAATCCGAGCCTCTCGGAAAAACAACGGCAGGGCACCTTCATTTCGTCACGCAATTAATTTCATTACTTCTTGCTTATGAAATGCATGCACAAAAAGAAGTTAGTTTTCTGCCAATGTATCTATTTAAGAATGAGCAAAGGTATAAGATATTTTTTGCCCTGAATCTCGTGTTGTGTAATGCAGTACAGAACAACATGAAATACAACAGAACATTATATAAAGCAAATACTCACAACGAGCAATAAACATAAATTTCATATGTTATCTTGGTGAGATTGATCTTTTTGGCATTTTCATTTATATAGACAACAGTGCCACTATTAGCAGATTGTTAATATGTTCTTTTAGTTTAAGTTTATAAAGGAACGCTGCATAGGTAAAACCGAGTGTGAGGGACAAAAATTAGACTTTAGTTGGTCAGGGCTAAGAGATCTGCTTAGCATTTTTTATCCTGCAAGAGAGTAAAAAGGAAGAGACAGAGCATTTGGAAGGTTCTTTAATAAATTCGCCTCGTAACGTCAATAGGACTTCTATAAAACTTGGTCAACATACAATACAAATTGGGCTTGAAGTTACTGGGCACTTCGTAAACAGTCATCTTTCCCAATTTTTGCTCAAATTTTATGGATTCACACACGAAAGTTGTATATTCAACTGAGAAAATTGAATCATAATGTTCATCAAGCTGCTTTAAATTCAGATCTATCATCCATTTTTCAGGAAAATCACCTCCAAGTGCCCGCTCCATGGTTTGCTGTTTCAAAAAAATTGAAATCCGTTTGAGCAATATCGAAGGAAGTTGCATCTTATTTGGCATTGGATACTGAACCTTTGGCTATTGGGCTTAATAATTTATGCACAGCACAATGAACAAAGGGCACAATTACGAACAGCACAATTTTCTTGCCAGTCTTGTTAAAAAGGCATTTTGTATCCCCTCCATACACACCACGTTGGCACCGTCATAGTCCTATCCACCAGAGGGGTAACGGAGGCAGCCGGGGCCCCTAGCAATTATCAGTTTGGGGCTCCATTTTAAGCATAGTAAAACAATATAGACAAAAAATAAAATGCTAATCAAAAGACTTTCCATTCAATCAGACTTTTATATTATGTAGGCTTGAGCCCCTCGAATAAATCACATCGAGAATGCCAGCTACACAGTAAATAATAAAGAAAGCATTGTTGCTGATGGCTCCAAAGGTTGGTTTCAAGTCACCGTAACGGACTTAAGTCACCGTTAGTTTTTGAACTAAAGGTGACTCAAGTCTGTTACACAAATGGTCACAAATGCTGTCCACTCAAGCATTTTGGGGATTTTGTGTTTATTCTAAGTTCAGATATTCCCATATTTGAGAAAAATCTCAGATAAACTTCCAGCGTGTTATTCAGCAACACTAATAAATCCAAGAAAGGTTTCCTCAACTGGTTTCCTCGGCAGATTTCCTTTTTGAAAGACGAGTATTAAGGTCGTCGCAATATTCACACATGGCATATTTTCATCTGCGAAACACTGAGAGGAAAATATTTCGCAGGAAGTTTCAAGAGATGAGGTGATCTAATCATAGTCTCTCAATGACCACTCAATCTGTCTTCCAAAGATTTTTGTCCTTGGGATCCACACACTGCAGACGTTTGTCGAAAATTAAACCTTTTTAAATTCGATTATCTTTCAAAGACAAAAGTCTTTGGCAATCGCACATGGCAGATTCCTGTGTTTGAGAGGCAACAGAAACAAATCTTCATCTTTCCAGAATTGAGTTGATCTACTAAGCGAATGGTCGCGCATTCGAAGTGAATGAGGATGCTCAATTTGCGCATGCCTCAAATTCCATTCGCTCAGTAGCGTGACCAGCGAAAATCAAATGGAAACCGGCCTTGACGGTCGACCATACAACAACTGAAATCTATACAACAACAACCCTTGACATACAACTGAAATCTATACGGAAACACTGCCTGCAATAAATGGTAGTAAGGGAAAACATCGCATTTTTTTATAAATAAAATAGACACTCAAATAAAAAAATGTTACGCACCAGTTTGCGAGCCATTTAAGCACAAGATTTTAAATTGTTTCAGTTCTGCTGGAGTCCTTTTTTGAAGAATAGTTGCCTTGAAAAACGCAACATCTCCAGCACCATCTTTCAGACATTTAAACGCTCCCTCGTGAGAATAATAGGGCTCTGCACTACTTCTTACACATGAATTACTGCCAGCACCAGTGCAAAGTGAGCAAAGGTTATCAGCTCCAGCCTTTTCTGGATTGTACTTTGGGTCTTTTGCACCTAAACGAAATATGACTTTCTAAGCATTATGTTTAATTTACTACGCTAGTTCTTATAATTTATGTGGCTACCAAGAGAATCTAAGCTCGTTGAATTCGAGTAAACATACCTTAGCTTCTATTATATAAAGCAGTATTATTCTGGTACACTATCCTCTATATTCCTTCTGCCCTCAAACATTTAGTAAATAGCAATCACACATAGAATCCTTTAATGGCTTTATAGAATCCTTTAATTTTTTCCCGTCATTATTTTCTAGTGACTACTCTTCAAAAAATTTACAATTTTTAAAGCTTAAATGTCTAAAATCTGATTTAACTCAGAAACGAGTCCAAAATTAAATTTTGTTGGTTATTGAATATAGCAGGGGCGGCGCCAAGAAATTCAAAATGGGGGGGGGGGGGGGGAGAGACTCGAGTTGATAGTTTTATTAGACTAAAGATAAGATTCTAGGCTATGCTCTTCAGATAAGCTTAAAATACATTTCAGAATATTTCTTGCAGTCATTTTCTTGCAATCGTTTACAACATTTTGCTATTTTTAAGGCATGCTTTTAGTATGTTTGATTAATTCCAATCTTAAATGGAATTCATTACTTTATAAAGGCTCCATATACCCAGTGGCGTACCCAAGGGGGGGGAATAGGGGGTCCGGACCCCCACTTTTCTAAAATATGGTCCTCGAGATTTGTCCAAAAACGATGTAAAACTCATTGGGGAGGGGGGGGTGGGGAAGTATACAGTATGCTTGTGTCAATAACAATTGTAAAATACTTTGCTATTTACCCTAGCTAAAATGAATCAAATAATGGGGGGAAATTTTGCAAAAAGGGCGTTTCCCTGCATTTGCGAGTGTTTGAAGGGTGTTGCCCAAAAAAATTGGGGGCTACGCCCCAGACCCCCCCCTCCACTACTGCAGCCCTGGGTACGCCCCTGCATATACCTCTTATTCCTGGAAAATAAAGCAATAACCGGATTTATCGCACAAGTTTTTTCTTCTATTCCTATTCTTTTATTCTTTTTATTTCTTAAGAACACTCTTTGCAAAAAAGTTGGGGGGGGCTGAAGCCATCTAGCCCCCCTCTGGCACCGCCCATGTATAGATTTGAAATAATTGAGTATTGGCAATAACGCGTATGTAGAATGCGCATTGTAGTTTCTCTTTATCAAGTTGAGAATGGAATTACAAGCAATTTTAAGCAACCAATGTCTACTGGCCTACTCAAGGTATGACCATATTGATGATATTTTGTGCAGCGATAAATTGCACAAAAACGATTATTTTTCAAACCAAATTGTTCGTTCCCTAAACTTTAAATTAAACCAACCTGGGGCGCAGCTAGCATTAAAGAAAGCCGCTACTGAGGCATATTGATTGTCGTTGACACATTTCATTAGCCCCTTGCTCATCAACGTTCCCACGGGCATAACCCAACCAGCGTTCTTCAACACTCCTGTATGACATGACCTCTTTCCCTGTTGTAAAAAGGGGCTATCATAAATCACAAAGAGGCTATTAGCTTTAAGAAGATTTTGAAGATATATTAATCACAAAGAGGCTGTTAGCTTCAATATGAAACGCCTTTGCCAGATTCTGAAGCAGACTTCTTTGAAATGGTTTCTCTTGGTCACTTTTTGATAATGTAGTTCCCAGCCCCCCAGAGCCTTCAAGCATCACATCTCTGAAAATAACTACTAAACTGATTTTCACGAGAGAGCTATATATCTAATTATATATGTTTAACGGCACATTGTAGACAATGGTCAAATATTATATTAGTAATGCTTAATCAGGTTGATACATATTATTTACACTAATTTATAAGGCAAATATGGTACTCTTATAATTCACATTCTGTGACATCTGTGTGCGTATTTTTTGTATGCAAGGAGTATGCTTTGATTGGTGTATTAAAGCAAACTTTTAATAGGTATTCATCATATCAGGCGAGCTGTTGTTGCTCGAACTCCAGACTTTGGAAAGAATATTCCGATGTGTTGCTTGGAAAGATCGCCAGATTCTAAGAAATGAAGAAAGTTGACAGAAAATCGTGTCTACCAACCCTTGACAACAGTGCCAAGAGCGCTACATTTACGGAAACGGGAGAACTTGATACCATAAGCGTAAGAAGAATTAACCTTGCTGATTAACCATACTACCTTAAGATTGTTGATATTTAGTGCAGAGCTTGTGTTCTTCACCATTGCAATCCCATAGTAACCAACTCGAGATTCCGGAAGCGGTGTTTTCGGCTGCTCATACATGAAAACACGCAAGTCGTAGAGCTTTCCTGAAAAAGAAAGTAGTAAGAATAGGCAGGGGTGTAGTGCTAGGGGAGCTCAGGAGGTGGGGCTAAGCCACCTTGTTAATGTCCAAGATTAGCATACTACTTTCTTACTATTGTTTTTCGCAACATTTTATGGCAGAGCCCCCCCCCCCCCTGTTATTTATTAGCACTACACCACTGAAAAGGGTAGGAATAGCCAGTGTTTTATTGATCAATATCCTGTCCGCAGCTTCCACTATAGTGTAGTGGAATTAGATATAAACGGTCCAGCCCGGATAAAAATAATATAAAACTGTAATTTGGCACAGATGTTCTGTACTAAGTTGAAAATGACCAGAAAAAAGCCTCATCAATTGGACATTGGGAATTCCTTATTTGGGTAAATACCACAATGGCGCACTGATCAGTAGTGGTTCAAAATTTTAATGTTGCTAAAACCACATAGTATGTACATCTTTTGAAAGATAATTTCATGCTGAATAACTTTTATTTAACATACGTACCCTTATAATATGCAAATTTAGTGGTGATTGGGCAGAAACAAAGTGGGACGAGTGAATATTGAAAAGCGCGCGGAAAAAATGGCTGATCCTCTGCTGAATATTTTCATTTTATATCGCAAATTCTATCGATGCAAAATCATTAAGTGTGTGAATTAGATAAAATATGATAACACCCACTCAGCCCGGACTGATTTTAACCGGGACCACTCAGCCTGGGCTGACTTAAACCGGGCCCACTCAGCCCGGGTCGACTCAGCCCGGGACCACTCAGCCCGGGCTGACTCAACCCGGGCCCACTCAGTCCGGGCCCACTCAACCCGGGCCCACTCAGCCCGGGCTGACTCTAATTTTATCACTGCTGCAGCAAATTCCGGTCAAATCTAAAGAAATATCTAAATATTCAAAACAAAGTAACTCGCGACCGAACGGTCCAAACAACATGATTTTTTCATTATAAACTAATTTAAAGATGAAGATTTCAATTCTGACAGTTTTTCAACTTTTTTCATTGACATACTCCATCTAAGTAATTTTTGTTACTAAGACGTAAAAAACACTGCCAAATTCAGTGCAAATTCATAAAGTTATGAACAGAGACCAAAATACAGAGGTTTGATGGGGAGAGAACCAATTAACACGTGGCCACATCTCTGGCACATTTAGAGGTATTTCATGATACGGTAATGAGATCCAAACTAAAAAATTCTAAAAATATATTTTTGTGACGTCATCACTTTAGAACTCTATTGTCAACGGTTCATACCTTGCAAGACTTTAAACTCATCATGCGCCATTTTTTCTACGTCCTGTTTAGTTTCAGTGCTTTTGTTCGAGGATTTTTCACGCATGCTTTCAAAGGTTTAATTCCATAAATTATTTTCATAAACTAGACCCACCCCTCTTACTTGACAGGATATTAATCAATATTACACAGTCCATAAATGTGGCAGCATTTATGTACTGGGGTGAAGGCTACGTTGGAAAATTTGTGAGCAAATTGTGTATGAGCATCGTTATAGAAGTTTAATTGCAATGAGGGCATCAACTTTGGGATCGGGGTAGGCAATTTAGGCCAAGACATTTAAAGGGAAAGCTTTTGTTACCAATTTGAAACGTCCTTGCTACCGACTGGGGACCAGTGGCGGCTCCAGCCCGGGATAAGTGGGGGGGGACACAAGGTGTGTCAAGGACCACGCCTTTTTGACAACGCCCTGTTTTTCCCTGCTTGAAGCATTTTCTTCCGGAGGAAACACCTCTTGTCTCCTGAGAAATGTCACTCAAATGTGACGACCTAAATAACGTACATACCCCCCTCCGAAATTTTCTTATCAGATTTGCAAGAATCTCAAGGACCACCTTTCTGAAAAAGTGTGGGGGACTAGTCCCTCCCATTTCCCCACGTGGCTCCGCCACTGCTGGGGGCGACTGGGGACGCCCATGACTAACTTTTCATTCGATAGTAGCGGAAATTTCACAGTCATAGAATTAAATTACGAAGAACTTTGCTGGAGGTTTACCCCTTTCTATATAGATCTAGACAATGTAAAAATTTTCTGTCGAGAGCTGGAGGACGTGTCCATGCTTGACGACATTTCAAAGTGATTGATGTGTACATATGGCATGCTCTTGTCGAAACAGGTGAGCAATGGCTTGGGACAAAGCACAAGAGAACTGTTGCCCCCCAAGCATCAAATGTTCAGAAAATTTTAGATATTCTGTCAGGATTTGTAGAAAAAACCAGTTCCACCATTTTACGTTTCACTGCACTTTTTGCTTTGTGTCGGTACGGTTACATTGTTCTTTTTTGATGATCAAATATTTTTTTCTCTAGTGAATCTTCTCATTATCTATCGTTATAATTCTTAGAATTATAGCAACTGATACGAGGTTTAATTACCTGCTTGGTAAATTTCAGGCCCTCTAAAGACTCCAGATTCAGCCTCGTTATTAGCAATTTTTTTGTAGCAGTCGGCGTCACCATTTCCTAAAACGCACTCCATTTGGTTGCTTATCATTTGCTTTACCAATAGGCATTTTGCCATTTTGTCACTGTCAGCGGCACACCATCTTGGTACCGCTTTAGCTAAAAGAAGAAGATCATTTAGTTATAAATCAACAAACTCTTTTCGTAGCTGACTGTTCTGGTCCGGTTACATATCAATATATACCATGAATCCGTGAATTGCCCTCTCCCTTTAACTAAGATTGCCTCTACTTTAGCTTTAGCTTGCCAGACCACCGACAATCCTTCAAATTTTAACCTTCATCTTTCTTAGACACCAGCCTTGTAACAATCTTTACCTTATAGCGTTTAATTTTACTCTTTCTTTCTGCTTTTCAAAAAAGCAAAGAGACATCATTGAAAAAATGGAAGCTAAGTTAAACTTTTCATGGAGATAGTAATTTCAAGTAAATTAATTTCAGTTATCATGTTCATACAGTGAATGATTCGATGTTAGACATCTTGATCAAAGAAGGACTTAGATGGCTAGGTCACGTTCACAGAATGGAACCAGATAGACTTCTGAGACAGCTTCTATATTCATAACTCCAAATCGGCACCAGAAGGCGAAGGCGACCGAAATTGAGATTCAAAGACGTCATGAAGAGAAATATGGAGCATCGAAACATCAACAGCAACACTTGGCAGCTAGTGGCAACCGAGGAAGAACAGTAAATGATACAGAGCTTTCTAAATTTATTTTTAGTAACATTTTCGCATCTTTAAACTTAAAAAAAATTTAAAAACTAATGACAAAATGTGAGAAAGGATTCAACAGCACTATGAATGAGTATGATGATGAGTGAGTGTTGTGATGTTCTTGCAAAAGTGTATTCAAATGACGAAGCAAACTTTGCTTTAGTGCAGACTATACACAAATTGCAAGAAAAACATGTTAACTAGGAAAAAATGACGGTCACTTTATTTGATTAATGACGGTTACAATAATTTGATTTCTTGTCACTTGAAAGTTGTGACACACCCTGTAGTTTACACAATGATAAAACAAACTGTAAGCAAAATGCGCTAGATCATTCGGAACTGGTGAGAATAAAAATTTATTGAGGACCAAAGGTTATAAAGCTTGTTATAAAGTTATAAAGTTTTTGCAAAATTTGGAGAGTGAAAGGTTAATACATTAGACAAACAACTATTACCCTTGAATTAAAGAGCGTTGAAGAAGATTGTCTTTCGGCAGTGTGTTGATAAATATTTTACATTGACTCTACTACAGAAACACTCGTGTACTTTTTCATTGCTAATGATGATTTTTTATTCCAACGTGTTACAACTGGTGGGGTGTTGTTATTAGTTACTCTCAATTACCAAATAATCGCCCCCCCCCGCCACACATATTAATTTTTTGAAAAATTTTCTAACCCTCACTTTTATTCCAACCCTCTTTTGTTAATCCTTGAATAATTGAGATGATTGTGAACGGAATTTTGATTAGTTCCTTCAAAACAATTTTAATCACATAAAGTTTTTAACTTGACTTATCTTTGCTTTGTCTGAACGCACGCGAGATTAGGAAACGAGCACTAGACAGGCTTACTTTTCTCAAATCAAACTGAGCCACTTCCAACCTCTTTCCCCGATTGCTTCCAGCCCCCGATTGTCAGTATATCAATTCAATCCATTTCCAAATCCCCTGATTATTCTAACCGCCCTTTTATTTGTTACTCAAGAGAGTGGAACGCATTCGTCTATATGCATAAATATGCCGTGGTAGTTTTTAGAGTTCCCATTTTGGGGGAAATGTGCTGGCGAGAGAAGGCTCTCTTGTCTTCTCTGCTTAAGGTCAAGCCACAAAAGTGAGTGAGTTGTTTTCTTATACTATGGTTTTTAAGAGCATTATGACAAAAGCCTAAAAAACTGGCGATGCGGTACTCCCCGCTAATTGGACCGCTGAGATTGCGAAGAAGGAGTAGATAAGGAGGAGGAAAAAGAAACCCTACTATTCCCTACTAAAATATATATTGCTGAGACTAAATTTCAGAGACTCTGGCACCCAGTGTATGCAATAGTCTAAATAGAAATAAAATAAATAGAATCCTGCAAGTAACGAAAATAAAATTTGAACAAATTACCACAATGTTTCAAATTCTGAATCATTAACATTGCGACGAAAGCATCGTGGGCTGTTACTTTTGATAAGACTACTTAAGAATTGATTATGGCGTGGGGTAATCTACCCTGGGTACCAGACTCACTGAATATATAGTGAGTCTGGTACCCAGGGTAGGGGTAATCTACCCTTAATGTAAAAGGCGCATGAGAGGATTTCAACCAAATGTGTGGAGATTTCTTTGAAGTGTAGTACCCTCGGATTAAAGGGGGTTTGAAAGATTTTAGGGGAAACGAAACAAGCTGAAAGTCAAGAGCAAGACGAAAGACTGTAACAAATCTTGCACAAATTTTCCGATAAAGAAAAATCGTTAAACATGTAGGATACCTTTTTATGTGCATTTTTTCATGCGTTACTTGTTGACGAATTGGTAAAACAAGATCGCCATATCAATCACCTCTAGGTGCATCATAAAAAATTCAACTTCAGCCAGTTTTGTTGCTGTGATGAAAATTCCGTTAGTATTTAGCTTCCTTCTCTACCATAACCACTAAATGATCACATGCAGACCTGATTTAACTTCCTGCTTCACGGACGCACGTCATGCGCATGCCTAGAATAGGGTGTGTTGGCTGGACTATCATGCTAGCATGAAGAAATCTTACAACTTTTTGTGAAGCACCTTTAATGTGCACAACAAGCTAAAAGTCATCAAGATCACTTCTCCGGTACCAGGAAACAGCGCAAAAATCAGTAATAACTAGAGCAAGCATTTGGGGAGTCTGGCTGTCTAAGCTCCAAGCTCCTGTCCATGGCTTTGTCCATGGCCGCAAAAAGTTTCTGCTAGCTTCGCTCGCAGTGCACGTAGATGCTCTGTCACGTTTGTGTTGGTTTCTTGAATATATTTATACAAAAATTAACTCTTCAGCAGATTAAAATCTAAGCAAAATAAAAATAAATCTAATTAAGAACCTAATTACATTGTGACAAGCCTAACAATTTAAGATTTTAAGACCTACAAATCTTATCTACCTATTGCTGTTCTTCCAGGGAGTTGTGTTTTAGCTTCAGCTCTTTAGATATGTTTAAGTTGTTTTTTGAAACGATCTAGTGTTGGCAGTTCACGAATTTCACCAAGTATGTCATTCCAAGATTTGAAAGCTGCATAATGAAAGCTGCATAATAAATGTTTAATGAGTACTACAGCATTGGATTCGCTCCAAATTTTGTTTGCAGTCTTAAAGCGACTATGGTTAGAGAAAAGGAGAAACAAACCAACGAGTAAAGCAGACGAACCTATAAAGATGATAAAAAACTGGCGTCTTTGTAATTTTTTGTTGGCGCATGGTTTCTAGGTACGTACCATTTTTGGCGACTTGTGGTTTGTGATTGGAGATGAAGAGCGGGCCCCCTTATGATCATTTTTTCCCGGAATTTTTCTAGGAGGCGCAACGCCCCTGTCTAAGAGTTCCTGCCTCTAGGCATTTCGATAAGAAAGGATCATTCATGAGTAGAAATTTGGTAGCTCATCTACGAAAACCGGCTGTAAAAGTGACAACTGACAAAGTGACAAATTACCATGTTGTAAACTAGCAGATTTATAAATCCATCATCATCAACAACAAGCAAATGAGCAAAGTGCAGGGCAAGTTGAATATTTTGGAATAAACCGGGAACCATTTGAAAATTTATGGAATTTTTAGCTTGTTTCTGCAAAGCCCATCTCTTGCAAACCCCTCATAAAATGAAAAATTATTGTAACGGCTCTTTGGAATATTGTCTTATTGTGTCCTAATATCGAATGATACACCAGCATTAATAACGAAACAGTCGTATAAGTAAAGAAAAAAGTAATTTGTTAGAAGCTACTGAATAGCCGCACCATTACATCTCACTAATCTGGTCAAACACCAACACTGATAAGGACGTTGTTACAAAAAAGAAATTAATGATGTCATTTTAATTTACGGCTGAAATTAAAACTAAACTGAACGTACCAAAGGCAAAGAGTGTTGTGAATATTGCCAAGAAAAGAGACAGCTTCATTTTCTCACCCTGCTCCTATCAGCTTTGTCTGTTAGCCAGAGACACTAGCGCCACCTAGCTTTTATAAGGCACCAAATTTGTCCAAAAATAGACACGATGATTTGACTTCCTAGTTCCTAGTTTTTCTGCTTTCCTTTGAAAGTCAACAACCCGTTTAACTAAACAAAAATGAAGAACTGAACCGGTTAATAAATGCGATTGTCTCTTCTCTTATCTTCGCTTATTTCTGCAGATATTGTTAAAAATTCTTGAAATGCTTCCTGATTTTGGCTGTTTCTCATAAGTTCATTCACTCTTTCATTCCTTCAATCCTTCATTCCTTTGTTCCTTCATACCTTCATATCGGATATGCTTTTTTTTAGAACCAAAAACGTGAATTTTCTACAATACAATCCCCAGTCTGTACCGCACAAACCAGCCTATTTTGTCAACCATCCCTGAGCTAGGCTAGTTCACTTGTTCCACTTGTGCATAAACAGTTCCACTTGGTTACCTTGCTTCTGTCAATTATTATTAGTTGACAGGGGGGAAAAAGCGCCAATAATTCATAAAATTTGGCTTCCTGTTTTTAGTCTCATCTTTTTAAAGAATATCAGCAACCATTAAACTAAACAAAACAATGGACTGAATCAGTTACTAATTGTGACTGTCCCTAATCATATATATGCTTGTTTTGCAGTTATTGTTGAAATTTCCCTGTTTTCATAAAGTTGTTTTGAGGTTAAACTGTTTTCATTAGCACATACGTTGTTTCATAACTGATTAGCTTGTTCTTCGAGTCCAAAACGTGAATTCTATCCAACTTGTACCAGTACCACCCAAGCCCGAAAAAGAATTGCACATGTTGTCAAGAACATAAGCAGCCCCATTTTTATCCTGCCTCTTTAAATTATTACTGTACTGGTAGCAAGTAGCGAAAACAGACTCCAGTCAATCGAAAATTTTGACTTCCTGTTTCCTTGGCTTACAGCTGTTTTTTTATTCAGTAACCTACTTAACTAAAAAGACAATTAACTGAGCAATTTATAAAATGCTATTGTCTTCTTTCTTCACTGAGCATACTTGCAGTAATTCGTGATGCCTTTCTTGGTGCTTCAATATCGTTTTACCTAAATAAGTTGCACGATGCTTCTAAGTCTAGATTGTTTCACGATTGTTCAAACCACGATCCGAAGATAGATTCGTTTTATTACTATCAAATAAAGTGCTGGCCCAATATTGGCCTGGTCGCACCGTTTTCGATACAGCCATCGGTTTTCAAGCTATCTTCGTTCGAATCAGGAAGTTCAATAATGCTGGTATCTTTGAAACATTGTAATAACTGGATTTTCTACGCAAGACTAAATAAGTCCAATTGTCATTCAAATGTCAAATGTCAATCGGTTTTCACTGGGAAAACACTCCAAGTTCTCTTGCGCAACCGGCATGCTTAGCGGTAGTTGTCTTGAGAAAATAGACTGTTTTGTATTTTCATGCAGTACGATATTATTATACTAGGCTGGTTCTTTGAATTTTAGTCGCAAAGGCATACCGGTTGCGCAAGAGCCTTTAAAGTGATACAGTTTCTAGCAAAACCTTATTTACAAATAACTATGTTAGGCCTAGCTCAGGGATGGACAAAAGCAGCAAGGATTGGGGGTAGTGGTGTAGTGCTATCAAAAAACAAGAGACTCTTGCACAAAATTTTGCGAAAAACAAAAGCAAAATGAATTTTTTTACAATTTTTGGCATCAACAAGGACGGCTCAGCCCCCCTGAGGCCCTTAGCCTACACCCCTTGGTAGGGGGTTGCTAGATAGTGATTTGATATTGGTGCGACACCATTCAGGTGACTAGAGAATGATGAGAACACCTATTTTAAAAATTTAGCTTCTGACTTCAAGATAAAGCAGGGTCTTTTACAATATACTAACTAGGGTGCCACTGCCCCTGCAGCCCCAGTGACTTTCGATTGTTTGAAACAATCGGCTATTGTCCTTTTCTTTATATCAACATAGTCTGCGTCTGCAGTTAATTTCCTTGGAAAAGGCTATGAGGCAAAGATAAAAGACAATAAATGAAGTCAATTTTTGCATTTTTCGTTACTTCTGATCATCAAAAAATGATTTTTATCGAATCAAAGCAAAATTTACCGAAGGACACAACATATTGAGGGGTGTAGCACCCCCTTCATCCTCGCGGTAAATCCGTCCCTGGTCAAGATGCATAAGGGGGGGGGGTACCTAGAAAACAAAGAGGTATTGCGTTTTTGTATCTGTCTAGTTACCAAAAGTTTAGGATAGGACTGCCCTGGGTAACAGAGCCACAAAATTTCGAATGCAGAAATTGAAATCCTAGCGGAGAAGGGGAGTTTCTCTGCTGCCATCTTCTATTTCTGTGCTTGCATTTTTGTGGCTCTGGGACCCAGGTTAGGATAGGAGGGGGCTGTTACGTAGGGTTTGGGATAGAAGGGGCCTATTACCTCTACAATTTGAACTTTTCTATCTAGACCGCTGCTAACTAGACACAGAAAATTCAACTCCATTTCTTATGGGAAAACACAGGTTACCGTACAGGTGAGTCTCTAAGCTGGCTGTGTAGTTCTAGAGTGTTGCAAAAAGAGGAATATATACAATTTTAAAGTGGGCGTGCGTTGTTTGAAGAAATTTCCAAGGTTTAGGACCATTTTCCACTTACTCTGCTACTCATGACACTGCCAGTTCTCGTTACTGATTGGGGTTTCTCTGAAGGATATTAAATATTACGCAAAATCTTACGGCAGGACACCATAAGACAGATATCGTACATTTTCAAAGAAAAACTTCAGCCAACAATTTAGCTTAGATTCCACTTACCCCTCCTTTTTTTCTTATTTCCTTATCATGCCATACCGGGTTAATTTTCGTTAAAAAAGTATGTGATATATATGAAACCAGTGGCGGCCATTTCTGATTACAATAGACTTTTGTTCTGAAACAATAAACCAATGCGACGTCATTTTAGCAAACTAACAGTGAGTAATATAATGATACTGAGTAGTATTCTTATGATTTTTTTAAAATTGGATGATTCGGAGCTTTAATTTCCTGTAAACAATGTGCTAATAAAAATAATATTCAGCATTAGTTGTAGGCGGGATAGAAAATTTATCCTAGGAAAGACCTGTGAACGGTTGTAGCTATTAGTGATTGCGGGGGAGCATAAATTTACGCGCGCTTTTCAGTTAATAACGAATTAAATCATGATTCAAAATGGAAGACGACAACGGTCTGGAAGTAGCAATAGAATTAGCGAATAACTTTCTTTTAGAGTTAAACAAAGGAGAACTCTCGCCACTCTTTGAAAGATCAGAGAATATACTGAAAAATAAGAATAACTTGAGGAAAGAATTTGTCAGCGATGCCAGAGAACTTATAAGTAAGTTACAGCAGGATTATTCGAAAGTTGAAGAGGAAGGATCTGGAGAATGTGGGTTTTCTGAAGCCTGCTACAAGGTAATTTTCTTTTTTTGAGGTTGTATAACATCACTTGTACTTGTTTATACTTGTGTGCCAGTTTTGAAGCAGCGAAGAGCGAAGCCATCGGATATGATCGAAAATGCAGCGATAACGAAAATAAAAACAAGGGCCATCAACAAGCCCTTTGGGGTGATCATTAAGTAATACAGGGGTGGGTGATGTTTTAAACGGTCCGTAATAAAATTTCATGTAGTATAAATAAGATAAAATTTTGTTTTTCAGTTGGTGAGGGATCTAAATATTATGAAATTATCCTACCATCAGTATTATCACTTAATATCTGAATCGGTTGGCATTTTCTGTTGATGTATCCAAATTTTGACTAGTTTCTGTGGGGGCCTCGCTTTTTCTTATTTATTTTTTGGAGAAAAACACTGAATTTTTCTTGAGCTTTGCTGAAAGCTGTTTTATTCTCATATTCTCACAGTGTCAAGAAAATGTGTCTTCTTCCTCCTCCAAGTTGGTGACATCAATCAAAAGCATTTCCATAACTCAGAAATCAGAAATGGCATCAAAATATTACCTTGCCCCAAACTTAAAATTTTTGCTGATATGAAATATTGGGAGCTTCTCTATTTTTCCTGATTTTCTGGCTTTTCATGTTCCTGATTCCACCTATTAGAAATCTATGCGCTTCTCTGTATTCATCTTAGCATCTGAGCTGTTTCCTACTCCTTTGCAGCAAATTTTAAATCTTTTTCGGATATGAAAATGGCAGTCGAACTCTGTTAGTACAAAGAAAAATGAATAGAGAACTTAATGACAAGACTATAACATGATACGAACCAGGTTGGAAAACTTGTAGGATTTTGCAGATGCATCGCTGCCATGGCATGTTATCAGCTGCAACCTGCGAGCAGAAACATTTGAGCTGTGAAAAAGAATGCCCATTCTATACTGACTATAGTATAGTATTTACATGATATCAGTCATATTTGGATCACAAAAGGTTGCTGGTACAAGCACAAGAAGTCCAGCGTAGCTGCGAGCATATGCAAGTTTTCCAGCCTGGGATACAAGAGATGCTTTTTATGAGGACTAAAGAACAAACTTGATGATAAGAATTTGTTGCATCGACAATATCTTAAAATTTTCAACTTTTCATATTGAACTCAGACAGGGGCGTTGTAGCAAATGAATTCTAGAGAGGGCAAGAAAGAAAAATTTTCCAACCAAATTTTACTCAAATGGAAGCATTTCATGTAAGTGTAAGGGTCAAGGCAGAAAGGCTCATAACTTTTTGGCTTGGCTGGAAAGATATTTAAAAGGCCTTTGTCTTTGTCTCTTCATAGTAACAGTGAACGTCCCTGACACCTATAGCTTAAGACAAGGGTAGAATGAAATTGCTACCTGAGGCGGCACCATGGTTGTTGCTGAAGGAGAAGATTTTTTAAGGTCTATTGCTTCAAATTCGCCGAAAATTGCTTCCTTTGAAGCAAATTTTGGTAATGAAATTTTATGCTTGAATTGAATATCCACTGTGGAAAGCGTTTGTTTTGATTGACTCCTTTGTTGTTTTACCTTATGCAACATAACTGCAAAAATTTTCAAACCTGGGGCAAAATTATCAAAAATCTGATGATAGGTACATAATTGGCACTGTTCTGGTCTTCAATATCAAATAAAGATATAATTTATGACCAATATTGACCAATTTCTATAACCAAATTTGGCCCTTGAAGATTTGCATTTTATCTGACAAAAGCTGAGCAGCAAATCACTCTATGGTAGAATAATAATAATAATAATAACACAAATTTTTATACAGGATTAACACTTCAACGCTACTGCTGTTATCAATGTGTGAAATATGTTTATCCTGAGAAAGCATTTTGATTTGTGGAAATATAGTATTTTCTTTACAAAAGTGAATTGCCCCTCGAAATTACAATAAGTACTTTTGTACAAGTAATTTATGTTGCGAAAAGTTTGAAAATTACCCACTGCTCAAGTCAACAAACATTTTCCAACAAAACAACAATTTTATTCGAAAATCCATCAAATTTTGAAGGCAAAGGGGGCCATGCCCCCCCTGCCCCCAGCCACGATGCCCCTGAACTCAAAAATAAACAAGCATGAACTTGTCAAAAGTAGCATGCTTTCAGTCCTAACCTATTAAGGTCCATAAAAAATGTTACCAATGCCATTTTGTTTGTGTCAGGTTAAAATGTTAGTTGGTGGGCAGAACTCTTTAAAATTTTAGTTGGTTATCAAATCCAATGATAACATTTCCCTTCCCTTGGCATTTATGAATATGTGAGCTATCTCTAACACAGCTACATATGTTTTTGAGAGCTTGGTTGAGCTCAACTTTAAAAGTCTCATGTAAATTGCAATAATATAGGTATAGCTTTGTATCTTTACATTAAATTATATCTTTTACCAAGCTGCACTTGGACTCATTTAAACTCAAACCACCAAGCAGGTGCAAATCCTTTATTTGTTCAAAAAGTTTCAAAATATTGAAAATAATAATTTGTATTTGCTTTCAAGGCAAATAAGGAAGCCAAAGAAATAAAAGAAACTGGTCTAAAGGATGAGTTGAAAAAGCTTGGCAAAGATCAGGAGGAGTATTCTCTCAAGCTTAAACTGCTGTTTGAAAAAATAAGTGCACTTGAAGAAAAGAAGCACCAACTAGAGGAAAAGAAAGATAAATTTGTCCCTTGGAAAAAGGACAAGTTTGCTTTGTTTATGTCAGCCACAGGAATACACTGGAATTTTGGTTGCAAAGATAATGAGATACGTGGATATGTTACTGGTAAAGGAGAGATTCAGCCTTTCTCTATTAACTCTGATGAGCATGACGGTTTTTACACTGCTAACTATTTATGGGATGTAGTTTCATCCACATTTAATGAGTAAATAGATCCTTATTCTAATCATAGATTTCCAAAAACTGACTCAAGACAAACTACTTATTGTGAATGATATCTTTTTCAAGATTGATAAGACCATCTTGTTGAGCAAGTAGGTGTCATGATTGATATTATAAAACACTTGAATTGCTGTTATTTTTTGGAATTTATTCTCTATAACTTTGTAGCAGTTGTGAATCAAGAGAAACTGTTTTCAAGTTGAGATTTTGTATTTTTGCTGATTAATATGGCACATATCTTAACTGTTCTGGAAAGATCATTGTTCAGAAGATACTTTCAAGCTTTGTGATTTTTTCACAAATATTTTGCATGTTTCTGACAAATGGAAACTATTCCTTTGATGGCAATAATATTGCATTCATTATCATAGTCATTGTCTAGATTGTTTTTGTTGTTTTTATCAATATTTTTATTACCTAACTACTTTTTTTGTCAGTATTAAAATCTATTTAATTGTTACTATTTTTTGTTCTAGCAACTGTAGCACCATGGGGGCCATGCCCCCAGTTCTTGCAGGATATGTTTTTTACTTTGTCAAAATTCAATGGAAAATGGTGGGGAAGGGCTATTATAAGCAAAACCAGGCCTTGAAAGAAGATTTTTCTTCCTGGCAGCAAAATAAAAAATTCAAAATTTCCTGCAAACCTACCACAAAGTTTCCAGCCACTGAAAGTGATATTTTAAGTTGCTGTGATTTGTCTAAACATTTGTCCTAAAAATAAACTGTCATACTAAAAAATACTTATTGCTGGTCGTCGATTTTTGATGATAGCCATCCAAACAGCAATAATTTTAATCATACTGTTTTAGATGATCAAGAAGAACGTGACTGAGCACAATATTCATTTCATATCAGTACTAGCAAACTAGATACTTTATAAGTATTGATGTATCCTACATCTTGCTCTGGGTTTCATGTTTGCTGCTCATTTTTATCATCAAAGCGGTCATTGTACTAGTTCATACAACATGTAAGAATTCTATTTTTTCTTCAATGGTTAAAATCAGGGGTGGTGCTAGAGGCAAAGATGTAAGACCAAAATGCTTACATTCTATAAAGCAAGAGATGTATTAGGGCATGTTCACCTTCAAAACAATTGACACGACAAGATTGGCTGTCTTTAGGTGTTTTTACATATATAGAATGGCTAATATAAAAAAATTAATTTTGTTTTAGCTTGCTTGAATTAAATTGGTAGCTGAAAATTATGCCCAGAGACGCTGATAAGACCAGATAATTGTATTTTGAAAGCTTCATTTTTTTGTTAGTAATGCAGTGCAGAACAAAAATTAGTCAGTATGTATGTGTATCACAAGAAAACAGCGTTCCGTAGAAAGAGTGTAACAAGAATTTAATGTTCAAATTGAAATCAAGCAATGGAGATTTCACGCTAAAAATTTCCGGGCAAACAACAACAATTTCCTGCAATGAACATGTGCTAAAAATTACCTGTTTTTGACGACCTATTTTAGCTGCATATCAATCTGTAAAGTTTATCTTCTTCTTCAAACCCTGCATCTTTGTACCTTCTTTACTTTTTTAAACATGAATCGATAACAAATTTCCCAACATTGTTAAAAATTTGCTATTCATTGAATTTAAGAGAATGTATCAATATCATTCCTTGCCAGGGATGGATTTTAGAGGCCAGGATTGGTGGGTCGCTTTTTCTGTTTACTAGAGTTTCAATCCCACTCCCGGTTAATTTTGCTTTATGCTTTTATTTTTACCCTTTCATAGTCCTCATTTGTCAGGGTATGAAAAGATTGAGTTTAGTTTATGTTAATCTCCTATTTTTATTGAGAAATCAATGTGCGACTCAACAGATAGCAGTTTTCTTGAAATTTCAATCAGGCTTTGAGAAAAGCAAGTGTTTAGAACAACCGACAATAAACTTTATTCAAACGGTGATAATCCACAAGAAATAAACCTTTTCGGAGACTGGTAATCCAAAAACAAAAATGACTCAATTAAGACTAGAAAAGGCAAGTAGCGTTTATTGAATTACTTCATTCCACAGCATGAAAACAAACTCATGTTTATTGAAAATTGCAGTGATTACGTTAAAATGCGGCTTGTGGTTTTGTCAAGTTTGATAAAAGGTCATGAGAATACCGTGAATGTTTTTGCTACTGTTTATTTTGATTTGAAAATGTTAGTAAATAACTTTGGATTCAACATCTGATCAGCTGTACATTTTATGCATCCTATAGAAATGTGAAGAAATTGGTTATCAAAGAATCAATAACAGGTAACAGAAAAATAGAAATAGGTTACAAGTGCTTTTCTACGCCAAAAGGCGCCTTTCGTAACTTTTTAGACCACGGAGCTCTGCCCCCACCCTTGTGATTGCCAAAATGTGCTTATGTACCCTACATCCTCGAATTGGCCCCCTGTGGGGCTTATTACTTTTTGAAATTTTTGGATGGGGGTTTTTCGAGAGGGGACCTTATACGAGGGGTGGGCTTATAAAATTATATTAGACCTCAAAAAGACATTATTAAAAGACCTCATCTATTTTAGTAGGAATTTCTTTATTAACATTTCATTAATTATGACCAGTATGAATTTTTGTGGTAATTCGATAAACCTCAAATGACAACAATAAACAAATCGAGGGGGCCAATTGGAGAATTTACGGTAGCAGTGGGGGCTTATTCGAGGGGGGCCTAATTGAAAATTTGTAGTTCTAGGGTGGGGCTTATTTGAGAGGGGGGGGGGACTTTTTCGAGGAGAGCAATTCCAGGATTTATGGTAACTGTGCTCTTTTTGTCAGAACTTCTTGGTGACTGGTGGCAATAAAATATGCACCGCCAAGTTATAAATGCTTCTCACGTCCCTGTACTTAACATTGTCGCTATTTTGTTTCAATTTGTGGCCCCTTTGCATCTTTGTTATTACTATAGTGGCATTTGTATGTCGTTGAATTTTAAAAGGAAATGAACTTCTTAAAAAGAGTGACAGAGGATTGACAAGGTCGCCAACCAGTCTACAGTGTGTAGCATGTGCACACACAAGATTGCACCTCATTTTTGCCCATTTGATCTTCTTGAGAACTGCCATACTCTCATGGGCCCCAAGAATTTCGAGGGGGGCTGTAGCTCATTTGTATCATCATATTTTTCTAGTGACATTTTGGCCCTTTTTCATTACGAAAGTGCTTTAATAGTCATATTTTTGTACTTTTCGTTCGTGTAAGACCCTCTTTACCCCCACTAAGCTAAAATATCTGTCGACAATGAACAATGGATGAATTTGTTATTCTTTCAACACAAGTGAAGAGAAAATCACAGCACCCTCCCCGAGGAATATGGCGAAACCACTGCGAGGGCGTAATTGCAGGGGTCTTGTTGATGCAAAGAGATGTTCGAGCTGACTGGGAATGCAGGTGTTTATGGCAACTCAACCTGTTCATTAAATATTGATGGAAAATGCTGCAAAAAGAGGCAACCGAACAATGTCACCACCTTCAGTTCTTTTCAATTGTGTAGATAAAAATCGTACGGTGATTGCGATATGCGAATGACGACAAAATCCACTATCTATTTGTTAGGCCGGTGAAAGACAGCTTTGCAATAGTGTTGCTATTTAGCTTGTTGCAGTCGCGTTTCAGATTTAGTCGGGGAAAAATCTTTTCAAGTCATTTCGAAGGATCAAGATGTTTTTCAACCATATGGTGTTGATCTTGGGATTCGTTGGCGTGATTCAAGGAAACTCTTTGGATAGCGAGGTGCAGAAGTGGGCAGGCAGTTTAGGCGAGACTTTGTTTCAGTTTACGAAAAACACCACAGCCTACACTCAAGTATTAGATAAATACCAAGATCCAAAGTACTTCGATTTTGTTAATATTAATGGCACAAAAATAATGAACGATTTCGCCCAGAGTTTTGAGAGCCTTTTACAGTCAAAAACAAAAGCCTTGTTGCGAGTTAAGAAGGCTGTTGAAGATGCCCAAGCCACGTACACTTATGAGAGCAATTTGAAATACGATTATAGGAATATCAAATATATCAACACAGATAATAAAACACTTGTTATTTACCCATATTTTTCAACTTCACTGAAAGTGAACAAGACATACAGCTATATTCAAGTACCAACCAATGTTTACGAAAAAGACCCAGCTGTTTTGAATACAGCAAAAATGACAGAGAAACTTGATGAAGTTTACCGAAATAATTTTCAGGAAGACAAAACATTACTTTGGCAGTATTATGGTGATGCAAAAACTGGTACATTCCGCACATATCCCAGTAAAGTTTGGGCCCGAGATTCATCGAATCGAGATCTTTATGATTGCCGCCAGAGAAATTGGTTTATTTTGGCATCTTCTTCACCCAAAGATCTCATAATAATAATTGACCAAAGTGGGACTATGATTGGGAACAATTTTGGAATCGCAAAAGTTTCTGCTCTTGTGCTCATTGATGCATTACAAGAAAATGATTTTTTTAATGTAATGACTTTCAATACACAAGTCACATATGCATTTCCTAACTGCAAAACTGAATTGATGCAGGCCACAAAGGAGAATAAAGAAGCAGCGAAATCAGCAGTGAATAAATTTGGTAAGCCAAATAAGACTGGTGATGTTGAAAAGGTAATGGAGGCAGCATTAAAGATTATGATGAATGTCAGAGGGAACTCAAAGAAGTCAGCGGGATGCAATCAGGCTATTGCATTTTTTTCAGATGAAATAGAAGGTGACTATGCTGGCAAACGAGCATTTGATTCATTTAACAAGGATAAACATGTTCGTGTTTTCTCCTACCTTGTGGGAAGGAAGAAATCAGCTAAAAAGAAAGCAATGAAGGAAATGTCTTGCAAAAACCGAGGTCATTTTTATGAAATTGAAACAGTAGGGAATATATGGGACAATGTTCTTAAATTTATCAATGTCCTCAGCAGGCCATTAGCACTTTCACCAAACAATAATGTGCCAATCTACACACCATTATATTTGGATGCAAGTGGACTTGGAATGATGATGACTGTTTCTGTGCCTGTTTTTAAGAAAACAAAGAACACCAAGGATGCAGCTCTGCTTGGCGTTACTGGCTCAGATATTGCTGTTTCTGCTATCCAAGATCAGATTCCCTACTATGAGCTTGGTGTCAATGGTTATGGATTTGTAATCAATTACAATGGCTTTTTTCTCATGCATCCATTGTTGAAAAGTCAAGAAGGCTATTTACCTTCCCCTGCAAATGTTTATCTTGAAGATTTGGAGCGTAGCACTGGAAACGATTCTATTATGCTAAAAAATGCCATGATCAATGGTACAAGTGGAGAAAGACAATTTGTTCTTGATTCTGTGTCACTTGATGGTAAAAGATTCACCAAAATTAAAATGAATTACTTCTTTCAGTCAATGAATTCAATCCCCTTCAGTGCTAGCATTGCTGTACCAGAATATGGCATGAAGAAGTTAAAAGCCAAAGCAAAGTATTATTTGCCTGCAGCTCTCAAAGCCCTTAATTCAACAAGCAATTACCAGATTTTGATTGCACCATGGCCATACTGCAATATTAGTGCAGCTGCTCAAGATAATCAAGAGCTTAGCAAAAAAGCCTACCCAACTGCAGAGGAAGTGAGAGTACAGCTGTCAAAGAATAATGGTGCTAGTGTCTGCAATCAAGAACTGATTGAAAATTTGTTGCTATCTGCTAGCCTTGTCACAAATGCTACCGAAAATGTTTGGAAACTAGGTAGTGGTGTTGTCAGTATCTTTATTGGAACAAGTGCAGGCTACTCCAGAGTTTTGTACTCTAAATCAGTTCCCATCTCACGTGACCTGTTCCAGAATGAGTACTACAAACATGCAGTAGACTATGCTAGCAACCGCAGTGACTTGGTGATCTTCTCAGTCCCATTAAAGAAACAGAATTTATCACCCTTTACCACTATAAAACCAGCTGGTAACAAAACAGAAACTTATGTCACAGTAAGTATTCCAGTCAAGAATGGCAGTTCATTTCTGAGTGTTCTTGGGTTTCAGCTAAAGCATAGTATGGTAAAAGAGATGTTGCTAAATGCAACGGTTAGTACTACAGGTGGAGTTGCCTCTTGCTCCAATAACAACTCAGTTGACTGCTACCTGGTTGATGAGAATGGGTATGTTGTTTCAAGCAATGGTAATGAAGATGATGTTGGACAATTTCTTGGCATGCTCCAAGGCAAGCTGATGGAAACTCTGAGTCATAACCAGTCTCATTTTTTCAAACCATATATGTTTCAAGACACACAAGGCCAATGTGATGATGAGAAAACTACATCTTCTGATGCAATGCGACTTTTAACACCATTTTTCACAATTTCAGCTTATTTTGTCTGGTGGACACAAACACTGATATCATTGCTAGCACAATTCACCTTGTATTCCTCTGTCTCTCCAACAGCAAATGTTGAGGCCATATCCAGCCCTAATGTGAGCTGTACCAAAAACATGGTTTTTTATGTTTTGCAAGATGACAAGTTACCAGATAGTGGAAGTATAGCATGCTCAAAAACATGCAACGAAGAATTTGCTATCAGCAAAGTGAAAAACACAAATCTTGCTTTGGTGGTTATGAAAAAAACCTGTGGTGGTAGCATATGCACATATCCAAAAGTTTCAACAGTGCCAGTCAAAATAGCACGTCAAGACAAGTGTCCAGTACAAGCAAGGGATAGAAGACTTCCTGACAATTGCTTCGCTTACAATGCAACAGAAGACACTTCCAAATGTGGTTCAGCTACAACCGTGAAAAGATCCTTGCTGCTGTTGGTAATGGTATGGGTATTTATTGCTGCAGTCATGTAAACTCAGGTAAACTTTCTTGGTATTTTAAGAGTTACATGGGAATCATACATTTCAGTGATATACAAGCATGAAATACCATTGAATGAATTGACTTTCAGTAATTGCACGTGGTCTTGTAGAACCAATAAAGACTGTGCTGAAGTCTGGATCAGAAATTAAAAGCCAAATCATTCCAACTATTTTCTAGGAAGTTGAATGATTTACTTTCACCAGCAGAGAATGAACTATCAGACATTGAATTTATTACTTTATTGCATGCATTACTGATGTTGATTGTTTTCTTTTAAGACCTGCGTAGCAACCAAGTGACACAGACCTGGTGGAACCTTCTCAATGAATAATTTCTTTACTGGGGGTCCTCCTTTAAATAATTTTAATGACATAGGCAATACTCCATTTTTGTCAAATTCCCTGCAAATGCAAGCTGACACTTTTTTGTTGCCAGTCAGCCTTATGTGTCCCTGGCACAAAGTATTATTTTTAACAGTCCTGGTTGAGAGCCATTTCTTCACTAACATTTTACCCCTGTTTTGCCAGTCAAAGACAAATGTTGCTTTCCCCTGCCACATTTACCTGCTATCCCCCATGGTGAATAGACTTTCCAGGCTTGGTACATAGGGGTGTTAGAAGGAGGTGCATGTTGCCTTCTTTTTGTAGCTAGCAAGTTTGGGCCTTGAAAACGCTGGAGAACAATGAATTTATATCCTAAATAGATTGTTTTGTTTTTCTCCTTTTTTGATTTCCCCTTTCTGGTTTTCTACCATTTATGTACTATCAGTACAGTTCGGAAAAGCTTTTTCCACACTGTCATATATCTTTTGATAAATTTACCTTGAATCCAATTCAGAGAATGCCCCTTCTCTATAACCAAATAATGAACAAGCTGTGTGAAAACTGACAGCCAGTTTTATGAATTTATTCATTTCAACTATATCTGTGTGAAAGCTGTGTTTATTTTATCTTTGTTTGGAAAATAGTCAGAAAAGGATCTGTTTGTTTATGATTACAAATTTTTCCCAAGAAGGAATAAAAGGTTTCTTAAATTGTGAAGGGCTGGCATGGTATAAACCCATTTATTTGCAGACCCTGCTCTTTTTTTTAATCTTATGTCGTGTAATTGAGTAATGCCTGAATTAATATAATTGTGTCGATGTAAATTAAATATTTTCACATTTTCGAAAAGAACAGCAATAAAAATTGTATTTAACGTGTTTTGCACCAGTATTATTTGACGTTTTGAATCTAATTGAATCAGTAGTCGTACTTAAGGTTGCGATCTTATTTTCACATATTTATTGCTGGCAAACACACTTTGAAAGTAGTTTTGTCATTAAAGTCATTAAATGCCACTGAAAACGTAACATTTTAAACGAGAAGAGATCAGGCTTTGGAACCTAAAAAATTGGTGGAGGGAAACGCTCTTCAACTTTGTTTTGTTGTCTCCCATTAAAGGCTATATGAGAGTCCAAAAAATTTGTCGGTTATATGCTAAAGACTGCGGAGAATGCCCACGTAAAAAAAGAAATTAAAGTGCTACGGCCATGCTTAGCCTTTTTCTTTGTTTTCAAGGGAAGGTTTTGAATGCATGGGAAATTGTCCGGTGGATGGATATATGAGTACCTTTCGGGACACTGGGCTTTGTCATACCATAGGTATACAAGCGTAAAAAATGTGGGTGCTGATCCGAGATCGCTAGTCCTAATTGCAACCCCCCCTCCCCCCCCTGCGCCGTAGGCTTGTGTATCAAATGTGACAATACAGAATGGCAATTTATTTCTCAGTCTGCAGGCCATTTCCTATAGCCTCTGCTTAAGACGCTGGATTTCTTTTTCCGACCAGATCATTTATGTTTCAATAGGATTGACAGTGAGTATAGAATTTAATCGTCTTTAGTCTGACTTACTGATGTTCAGCCACTTTAAGACGCCTTGTTCATTAACAATTTTCTTTCTTTCTGTTTTCTCTGTTCTTACAGATACCGGGAAAACATGTTTACTGAAAGATTTGAAAGTTTACTGAAAGTCCTGAAAACTGTACTTTCTTTCGGAAATCAAAATAGCCATCGCTAGCCACTATTTCATATTTATCTTGTCAATAACTTCTGTCAGCATCAATGTCAGTAATGCTCATAATTAATCGATATTTTGCATGTACGTATCTATTGGCCGAATGCCTATGTCTCAATTGGTCATATTGTTAGCAACTCTGCACGAGACAACATGATACTAAATAAGTAGAAAGTATTTATTTTGCATTGTAAAATAAACTAAACAAAAACAAAAAAGGTATAAAAACAGGCATAAGCTCTTCTCTTTGCATTCCTTGTTCTCACTGAACGGTGGTCATGAAAAATAAGTCCACATGTTGAGGAAAAATTGAGCAGTTGATGACAAACCTCAGGGCCCCCGACGTAGACGGGGTATCATGGGGCTTTCCCCACTTGCAAAAGTTAGGTACAATTTATTTTGTTACGAGTCTCTAATTTGATCAGCCCCCGACTCCCAATTTCTAGCAACCCTTTAAACTGAAAATTGCCCAAAACTTGTTACAAAAAGAAGAGAGGACAAAGGCTTCAGAAAAGTGACCATTATAAGAGCTTGTAGTTTCCTGACGTTGTCAATGGTGACCCAATCCCTTGTTACAGAATTCGTCTTTTCAACAAAATCACAATATAGAAGGTAGCTATTTTCAATGACTCAGGTGCTATAATATTCACGAATGGATAAAAATAGTTGAAAAGTGTGAAGCAATAAAATCAATTCGTTATACCATTCACACGAGCATACGTAGGCTGAGTACAATATTACTTGGCCTAATCTAAGAAGAGAGATTAATTTCGTTTAATAGCCTGCAAAGTTTCTTACAAAAACTCCTGTGAACTTTTTGCAGAAATTTCAATTTGAATTTTTGAAGATGCACGTATTTTGAGAAAGTTTTGGATTAACAAGAGTGTTTGATAAATTCTACAAACTTAGAAAATTAAAAGTTTAACGACACTTCAAATCAAAAATAGTTACCCTCTCCTCAAATTACCCTCTCCCCCCTTTCCCGCTTTCAATAACCTTTTTGTAGATATCTCTGATTTAACATTGTGTTTTGAAGTAATTTAGAATTGAAACATTTTAACCTGTAAAACTTATTTTTTTTCATAAGATGTATGCTTAATTGTATGCCATAAGTTCAAAGAAACGTGAAATCGATTGCTTATTTTCAAAATCGCTAGCTTTTCTTCGTCGAGCCTCTTCAGCATGCAGGCGCGCAACTACGGGGGTCCTGGGGGTCCAGACCCCTGCCCTTTTTCTCAAAAGGGGAAAAGTGCCCTTTTTCTTGGATAATTGCTTGAATATTTTGGTTATTACGCTAAAATGGTTGGTCATACAGTAAATGACACACTCCGGACATGTAATGGACCTCGCAGGAATACAGATAAATGATTTAGTCAAACTTTCACGCACTTGTTGGGTCGAACGTCATCATGTTGCAGTAATAGAGTCTATCTTCAAGCCCCAACTCTACAGCGTGTTCTATGATGCGCTACGCACTGGCTTTGAAGAAGGATGGTTCTGGGACGCAAAAACCAAAATAAAGGCACAAGACTTTGAACGGAATGGGGGCTCTACGACCTCTGGTAAAAAGTTACAAGAAAGAAACCAAGACATTTTTCAAGCCTGTCACATAGTTTACAGGATCATAGAGGACCTTTGCATGAAACGAGCGAATGCAGAGAAATATTTGCGGACTGGTATTAGCAAGCAGTAAAGATGGCACAAAAAGTTGATGTTCAGCTGTTCCGTTCCTTGTCAGTATTACAAATCAGCTGAAGGCAAGACTTGGAGACAGAAGCTGAAGTCAAGGCTCGCGGAACTGTTCAACCTCCTCCCATCTGTAGTGCGAAGCAAAGAATTCAATAATAATATTTTAAAGCGCAAAATGTCTTTGGAAATGGAAGATGATGGGCTGCTTTTCAAAAGTGAGCTGGCGCTGGGAAAAGGAGATGACAGCAGGGTCGCCGAGAGGTGAACAAAGGGGCAAATTGCCCTAGGGCCTCGAGGTCTAGAGAGCCTCATAAAACAATGAATTCCTTTTTTAAATGGAATTTATTCAAAGTAACAAAATTACACTAAAAAAGTAAAAATCTTAAACAAATTAGTGAATTTAAGCTATTTGCAAGGGTGTGGTGGCAAAATTTTTGCTCGCTTCGCTCGCAAGAGGCATTGTTTTTTCCTTCCCCCCCCCTAGGGCCTCCTAAACTTCTCGGCGGCACTGGATGGCAGACAGAAATAAGTCATGTGCATAGTTACCATTTAAAGGAAAAAATAAATCACACCTCACCACAAAACAAACCGTACACCACAACTTTTCTCTATTGATCAGTTTCCCTTGTCTAGCCTGCAATATTTACAGATTTACTAACTGCTCATATTTTCGGCGGACCTTTTATTAGTGCCCAACACAAAGTTTAGATAGTGCCCTTTTTGTGTGTTGGACCCCTGTTGTTTAACTGTAGACTGATACAGCAACAAAGCACAACTCAAATTTATACTTTGAGAATGAAAAAAAACAAACATTTTGAGTCAAACTTGAATAATTTTGCTAACACTTTTGACCATCAACTATTTTATACCATACTGGGTACCTAGAAGTCTCTAAGGGTCCAAAATATGAAATTCCATCCCGGGATCAATAAAGAAACCAAAAATACTGAACAGTTCAACAGAAATATTAAATTTACTTTAGTGATTTTGGCCTAAAGCTAGAGTTTGTACATATGAAATTGTACCGTTTATTATTATCAAGAACATTGCCTGTAAGGATATTTTTCTTAAGGATAGGGCTTACATGGAAGAGTATATCTTTTTGCTAATGTAATTAGAAAACATTGCCTGAGTTACACATCCAGTGTTAGTCTACGCGAAGATATTGCGTCATCTCTAAAAACCTAATAATCTAAGAAAAAATGATGAGCGACCCAGGCTTAAAGTTCTGGACAAAAGAGAGCAGCCAGTCCGAATCTCAATTTTTTGGTTCTTATATAAAAGTTATACAGGCACTAAACGGTCTCAGCTTTGAGAACTCAGATAAACCTCTCAAAATATTACTAAGACCTGGTCATTGAAGCAGGGTATGATCATTGACACATATAAAGGGACCAGAGTCCAGAAAAGTTGTCAACCTTCCTCAGGCCAAGAAAATTTTACTATGACCGGGTTTGAAATGGGCGTTGCCAGAACATTGGGGGTACTCAGCTAGTTATGATTCCTTCTCCCTGCAACTCTGCACATCTTTAAGAAATTGCAACTTGTTTTCAATTATAGATACTTCTGAGACACATGTAAAGGTCAATGCTTAAGGCAATTAATAACGAAACTGTGTCCATAATTTAAATATATAAATTTTAAAAAATTAATGCCTAAATTTTACAGTGCAAACAGTTCTGCAAACACATCCATGTTTTTAGCACGATAGCTACCGACGGCCCTGTCCCAGATTTTTGATGACGTCCCAGTTTCCACGACATAATATGTATTTGTATTCTCTGATCCTAAGTGAGAAATGATCGATATTCAATGCTTCCTTCCGTATTCCACACCCCCGTCATCAATATTTGACTTAAGCAAAAGTCTATTTGGCCAGAATTTCTAAACGTTTGATAAACCAGAATTTCTAGTCGTTTTGTGCAATCTCAGTGTTAGCTAATGTAGCTGTTACCATTGGTGGCAACTTCTTGGGCATGAGGACAAGTTGAGATCAAGTCTTTGAGACCAGAAAATCGTCTGGGAAACACTGTTACTACGTAGAAAAAACAACACATTGCAGCATGAAGTGGCAATGGATTGCTTCTTGTGTTTTTTATCTGGATGTCTTACATCTGAGTTTCTCAGCCGCACAGATATCAAAATTTTTCGCTTCTTCTGTTTCTTGTCCCGTTTCAGCGGCTGAAACTGGTGACCCTAAACCCTGCAATGGAAAGTCAAGACCTTACAAGTCGCCAGTCTTTGATGACCGCCAGGTCTACAACATGACTGGAAGAGATGCCCTTCAAATTATTGGCCAAGTATCAAAACATAAAGCAAATTGTACTATTGGCGGTGATGAATTGAGTTTTCCAACGTTATCGATTCGATACGAGAGTACCATCGCTTTTCGCAAACAAGCAGAACAAGCGGTGCGCGTTGCAAACCAGATGTCCTATTTACTGACGCGCGGATATTGTGGCGCGGAGGACAGCAGATCCATGATTGATTTTGGCTCCAATATAGAATATTTGTACAGCCTTGCTCGCAATACATTTGAAGTCGATGTAGATGTAGTAGGAGCTGGTATCATATTCCGCCGCAACGCCATCAAGGGGAAAGAATATTTCGCTCCCTACAGTCTCAGGTTAGGCAATGGCACGTACTTCGACGTAAGAGATCGCTCCACAAAAATGACTGAAGATCAAAAGAAATATTTAGAATATCTTGAAAAAATGTCAGAAAATCGAACATATTTGTGTTTGACGTCCGTTTTTAGTCCACGGGAAAACCAGTCCGCAGACAAGAATGATGTCAAGTATATACAGCCATACATCGAGTACATCGACGGGTCATGGGGAAGGCCATATTTCGAATGCCTATCAGCTAAGATTTGGCTTGTGCCTTACGCAGTACCCTTCTTCAGGATAGCAACCAACTCAAGCTCTGATAAGAATTTTCTGGAATTCATGTAAGTATAATTATGACATTAAATGCCAGGTGTCTCAGATATTGACGCAATTAGTCCTAAGTTCCTCCACTTATTAATCCCCCCCCTTGAGAGGGGGCTAGGGGACTATTGCCCTTGGGGCCACAGGCAAGGAGGGACTCCCTAGTAATAGAACTGTTTGTATTCAAAATATCACTCTTAATACAATGGTAATTTTAAGAAATAAAATCAGATCTGTTCTGTGATGGTGAAATAATGGTTTAAGCAACTCTTCGTGAGATATTCTGAAATAGCTAAAAAGCAAGAAACTCAATAAATGTGCCATTTTTCTGGAAAATCAAAAAATTTTGAAATTAATTTGGTTTTATTTCTTACGAGTATCTAGTTTTTCAATGATAATAGAAAGCAGATATCAGACCGCTTTCATTTCAATACATTTATAAATTTCAATTTCAAATCTATCCGATTCATATCAGACTGTTGCACACACATTGAAAAAACGAGTAAATGCTAATAGGATTTCTAGGTTTATAGTCTAGAATAGGTCCCAAGTGTGAATGGGTCCTTATTCTAGACTATAAACGTGAAGACAGTTCCTGTATATCTCATGAATCAAGACAAATAATAGCCAAGGGATTAAACATTACCATGGCCGCCGCCCACCCCCCCCCCTCCCCCTCGTCGGAGGCCTTGGCCTAAAAAGAAAACACTCTTCCCTTCATTCTTAAATCCCCAGGTTTCGAAAAAGTACCAATGCGTTTATCAAAATGAGTGGCAATTATCTTTTTGTATCAAACTTGCAACCTTATTTAAGAATGAAGATAAATTTTGTTTTGTTGCAATAAAGTAGGCCTATTCTAGCCTATTCAACCAATCATACTCGTTGAATATCATAATGGTAGTGATAAAACGTTGTGGCTTATCGCACATCTAACATGTTTTTAGCAACACTATGCAAAGTCTCGATACGCTTATTCTTTGGCGAAGGCTCGGACGTTCTTAATGTTGTTTTTCTTTCAATATCCATTTTCCTACCACTCGTACTCGAACTATTTCAAAGTCCACTAAGTAACGGTTTTGCAAGACAATTTTGGCAGCATGGTTTATCAATACACTCTCTTTTTATAAGAACCAGTAAATTTAAGTCAGGCTGACTGTTCTTAATTTTTTCGAAAATCTGAGGCTGAATTGTTCTTAATTTGTTCTTAAATTAAGAGGGTGTAAGCAGTGCTATTGCTAGCTTTTTCACTCTAAGGAGGCGTTCAGGCCTCATTTGCCAACAAAGTGAGTGCGACAGCCTTAATTTGCTGACAAATTTGAATATTCACCGAAAAAGCAGCCACACATCGCTAAAAATCCACGATTTTGAGAAAAAACGTTGTTCAATATTGCATTTTACAGTAGCGCTGCCTCAGCTTGTTCTTAATTCGTTCTTAACTTTTGACCAGTTTTGAGGCTCATGTTCTTATAAAATTGTTCTTACAAAAAAAAGAGTGTAGCTGACAAAGTCTGCTCTGCTTTGTTTACACAAGAGAAAATTTTTTACACGAGAGAAAGTGTCTCTTCTTCTCAAGTTTCTTACAATGGGCGATCTTTCATGTCTTATTTCGAGAAGGGCTATCAAAAGTCCTTGGTTCTTTTCTTTCGAAATTTCTACAATCAATTCATTCAACTGCCTCCATTTTTTCCAGATGAACTGTCTAATAAGAATTAGTTCGTAACATTATTTTCCCTTAACTTATGTTTTTAACCAAATAAATCTATGTACTTTCAAAATGCATAGATTAAATACCGTTCCCTTCCTTGAGACTTCCCAACCCTAATGACTTGCTTAACACAGTAGATGATTGTATCTTAAGTCTTTTAGAAGGTTAGAGGAGGCTATGACTGGTTTCTTGTAGTAGCTAAAAAAAGCTGTTTTAATATAGAGTCCAAGAATTGGGGTTGGTTTTGGAATGGGAATTGCAGTGTGACAACAACTGTTCTAGGCAATCGGTTACGGAAAAAGATTATGGGTTCGATAGAAATATTCCCTGGTGTTTGAGCAGTAAAGCCAAGAATTGGGGTTGGTTTTGGAATGGGAATTGCAGTGTGACAACAACTGTTCTAGGCAATCGGTTACGGAAAAAGATTATGGGTTCGATAGAAATATTCCCTGGTGTTGGAGCAGTAAAAGGGAAGCAGACCCTTCCCTGTCTTGATCAGTTGGCAATGAGGCGACTGTTCTAAAAATTCTCTCACGGTCTTTGAAACGAGTGGTAGCCAACACATACAGCCCACCATAAAAAGTAAGTAAAGGAGTACCAATGACCGATACCGTAAATTATCTTTTTAGCCCCCCGGGGGCTTATGTTTTTCAGCACTTTAAAGGGGGGCATATTTACGGTAGTTTAATGATTGTGGTGAATTGATATGATGTGCAAATCTTTCGGAATATAGAACGCCAACTTCAACACTTTTAGACTACGTAAGTAAACTTTAATGCAGCTTTCTCAAAATAAAGTAGTCTGCTGTAATTAACAAGCAGCAGTGAGAGAATGCCGTTTCAGTCCTTATATCAAGGTTACGGTGCGGAATGTTTGGTTTATCCATGGCTGTTTTGAAAGAGCAATTCTATGTACATTACGCAATCGCGGAAGTGATCACTTTGTAAATAGGGGGCGGAGCTGGTCATGTGCTCCGACTTTTCGGACACAAAAGGCAAACATTAGCACCTGTCAATGAGGAAGGATTGTCAGAACTTGACAAATTGCAGTGAAGCTAAGGATTATGTGGTATCGTGCTGGGAAGCAAAGATACGGAAGAGCCGAGAAGCGAGAATGCCTTCCTTGAACAACTGTTTGTAAGCGCGGAGAGGTTGAAACTTGCCAATATTCGATAGTTGTAAACGCCGATGTACGTGCATTGATTATTCAACACAACTTGCTGAATTATTTATGTTACGTTTCCACAAGCCTTTCGAATGCTTAAGTGATGCAAGAAGGTCAATGTTGACTTGCAGTTAATGCTGTTTTGAAGCACGGCTGAATAACGATGGCGTATAAACTGAACGGATTTAATCGACGACTGGGAAATACTGTGACGCTTGGAGAGTTTTTTCTGGTAATAATGCTCCCATTACTCATTTTATCGATGCAGCACCCTCATGGAAATGTTTCCCTAAACTGTACACTAATGCACGGTCAGTTGCATCCACCAACACTGATGAACTGCAACGGAAAAAACCGCTCCGCAGGCAAAGTTTGGGATCCGAGGGCTGTATTTAACATGTCCGCAAGGGAGGCTTTCGATATTATCGAATCAATTCACGAGGCAAAAGGTGATTGTAATAAATTGGTTACTGAGGGCAAAAAACCAATACCGCTGCTGAATATCCGATTCGAAAGCACGTCATTTCGTGATATAGCAAATGTAGCGATTCGCACGGCAAACATGATGTCAGATCTTCTAAACCGCGGAGCATGCGCTGGTGACCTGAAGAACCCCGTTTTTCGTGGAAATTCAACAGCAAATATGAGTGAAGATTTTCTGTTCAGCATTGTTAAGAGTAATATGCAAAATCATCAACGAATGTTTGGCAGTGGAATATGGTTTTTGGAAAATAAGTATAAAAGTCAAAAGTATTTCGCACCATATGCGTACAGAAGAAAAGAAGATGGGTACCTCAGAATCAAGGACCTATCCACAACTTGGGGGCCAGCACACACAAACTTTTTGCCGTTTCTAGAATCAATCGCAAATAATCGTACATACCTTTGTAGATCAAGTTATTTCACACCGCGGAAAAATCAAACAGCGGACGAAAAGATCCGGCATGTTGTTCACCCAATAGCGGAGTATGACGATGGGTTATGGGGAAGACCCCATTTTGAGTGTAGTACAACACGAGCTTGGATTGTGGGGTTTTACGTGCCGTTCTTTGCAACCAGATATGACAAACCATCAGATGATCCAATAGAAATGATGTGAGTATGGTGAAGATTTTAGGAACAAAGCAAAGTACACTCTCTTTTTTTATAAGAACAATTTTATAAGAACACGAGCCTCAAAACTGGTCAAAAGTTAAGAACAAATTAAGAACAAGCTGAGGCTGAGCTTCTGCAAAATGCAATTTTGAACAACGTTTTTTCTCAAAATCGAGGATTTTTAGCGATGTGTGGGTGCTTTTACGGTGAATATTCAAATTTGTCAGCAAATCAAGGCTGTCTCGCTCACTTCGTTAGCAAATGAGGTCTGAACACTTCCTTAGAGCGAAAAAGCTAGCAATAGCAGTGCTTACACCCTCTTAATTCAAGAACAAATTAAGAACAATCCAGCCTCAGATTTTCGAAAAAATTAAGAACAGTCAGCCTGAACTTAAATTTACTGGTTCTTATAAAAAAAGAGTGTATTGTGAGAACAATGAACGGAGTATTATTTTAGTAGCAGAGAGAGGATCTTTAAAAATTCTATATAGAAAGATGAGATAATTAGGCGAATTTTTTATGGTTGACCTGAAAAATTGCTATGAAGTGGGAGAGGAAAAATTTAACGGAGAGCTAAAATGCTTGTCAGGCCAATGAATCATTTCTGCGTAGAAATGCCCCCATCTTCTATCGTTTCAAAAATGTCCTCGTTTTAATCAGTTCTAGAAGTAGGCAAATACTACCACTTCTGAATATTTCAATGATAGATTGTTTAATTATTAACGAAATACAACAAAGTACAAATTAACATGGTTGATATGGCAAGAAAATAGAACTTACTTTGCAAAATATATAGTTTACTATTTTCAGCACTTTGAATGCTTCCAAAACCATGAAAATGGGATGCAAGAAACTTAACTAGTTGTAAACGACTTCTTTAACTAATGCACAAGCGCAAAGACTTAAGTGCAAGCCTTGTTGTATATACTTCTTACATGGCTACTTCATACCTGCCTATTTCCAGCATGATCAAGGAAATTTCTAAATATAAAGTGAGCTTGTATGTAGGCCCTCCCATTCCAGACAGAACGGCTGTAGTACACATACTACATTTTTGGACCTTCCGTGCTATTTTGTTTACTGTCATTAATCGAGGTATGTTTTCAATCAATATGGTGCTTCTACGAAGTACTAAGCTAGATCGGTATGCGCTACGCGTAGTTGCTGAAAACTAGAGCAGCTGGATGGCCAATCTTTCATCGGTGTTTGTTAAAAAGGGAAAAAGAGACTTAGTTAGAGAATTTACTTGTGAAAGAAAGAAGCTAGCTTTAGGTTACTAAAGACACGTATTTACAAGGTTACGTACAAATCTCTAGACCACGATTCGTGCAAAAGAGCAACTAGAGGGTCACCCCCACCCCCCCCCCATTTGTCAGCAAAATGAATTGCTAACAATTCTGTCTATGAGAATAAAATTATTTCTACTCTATGGCCCCTATAGTTCAATGATATTCATGCCACGGTCCTGTAATGGATGTCAATTCTGAAATATTTGTCGAGAGATTCAAAAAAGCTCTGTAACACAGTGGATTGGACTACGTTGGTCAACACTGATGAGGGGTTTGAGGGTGATTCGGGTGCGACAATTCTCTATTGGTGATGCACGCTTTTTTTAAGAACAGCCCTTATAAAAATATCAGGCTGAGATTTCTCCAAAAAAATTAGAACAACATTTAAGCAGGACAAGCTGAAATTCAATAAAACTCAAGAAACAAAATAGCAGCTGAAATTTAACAATGAAAGAACAGCAACAGAAACTCGATAAGACAAATAGAAGGAGAAGTCGATAAGCAAAGTAGCATTAATTACTTTACCATGCACATGTCCATTAAGAAAAATAAAAAACAAAATGAGAAACACGTTAGGCTGGGTATATGCGACAAAATAAGAACCGCCAAATCCGAAACTAGAGCCAAGTGTTCTTATTAAAAAAAGCGTGTAGTTGGTCGATCACACCCCAAGCAAATAAGAGAAAAACTAAAAACTATTAAATTTTGTCTTGAATATGATGTCTTGAATCCAATTTTAATTGTAAATCTTTCAAAATCCAATATGTTTTAGCTAATCTAAACAGTAAAAAAGCAAAATCTAAACAAAGCCTGAATTTTTTCCAAAATTTTGATTTCATTAATAGAATGCTCACCCTTTGCATCCTACCATAAGTTTGACCCCGTTTCAACGATGCTGGACACAGGCTGAAAAAAGAACCTCTAGACACACATTCTTTTGTTGAAGATTTTCGTCCGGAACTTTAATGTATACGTTTAAAAAACAAACCCATCCTTTGGATTTGAATTTTTTCAAAGGGTTTCCTTTCTAAGAGGCTTTAAAGTTTTGCAAGGGGCACACCCATATTTGTTTCGTTAAAGAATAAAAATTTATTTGCGTTTTGTCTACTAAGCAGTTTGTTTGGTTAACTTTTTATTGCATTGTATTCAGCAGTAGTGGACTGCAAGGCACTACCTATATACCTAAGGCATTACCTATATACATAAGGCATTACCTCTATATCAAGGCATTACCTATATATCAAGGCATTACCTACATATCAAGGCATTACCTATATATCAAGGCATTACCTATATATCAAGGCATTACCTATATATCAAGGCATTACCTACATATCAAGGCATTACCTATATACCTAAGGCATTACCTGTATACCTAAGGCATTACCTATATACCTAAGGCATTACCTATATATCAAGGCATTGCCTATATATCAAGGCATTACCTACATATCGAGGCATTACCTATATACCTAAGGCATTACCTATATACCTAAGGCATTACCTATATACCTAAGGCATTACCCTCATATCAAGGCATTGCCTATAGGTACTACAATAAAAAGACCCCTTAAGATTCAGAGCTAAGATTAAACGCAGCCCATTTGGAGTATTCTGCGCAGACGTCATACACGTTACTGTTTCTATGGAATTTATAGACATGATTTAATTGCGTCATCTGAGCCCTGTTAAGGTATTAACTTTATCTAAAAAAAATTTGAATTGGTGATGTTTGGAGTTTGTTAACTGAAACTAAGGGATGCTGAAAATGGCATGAGAACATTTCTAAAGCCAAATTTCAAAAATATCTGTGGCCTTAAAATTTGTAAATTTTCGAAACGTCAGCATCAGACCATGCAATGAAAGGAGAGTATAGCAAGTCACTGAGCCTACCACGTGAAAAGTGTTTAAATTGTATCTTTATTATTTTGAATTGATAACAGGCGAACAGCTGTCTTATGCCTTCATGCATTTTTTCTCGCATTACTCCCCATGGAGAAGTATTTTCTAGTCGAAAAAATGACTCTCCGTCGAGGAACCGTTTGGGTAGCTCATCTTTACCGTATAGAAAGTGGATCACATTGACAAATTTTGCGTTATGAATATTTTTAGAGTATAGCCTGCGCCGCAGACTAAACTTGATGCGTGGAGGAGCAGAGAAGCTGTGTCCTCCGCTTTTCCGCATCTTGACGAAAGTATGCAGCGCCGGCAAAAATCTTTATCGCTATTTAGATTGAATATTATTGTTGCAGGGGAGTGGCCTCGGTGGACATTGATCTCAGCCAAGTTGATATAAACCAATGTGATTTAGATGGCACTTCGCAGTTCACCTACAAGATATTTGCTGGAACTCATCACTGTCACAATGCAACTTCAAGGGTTTGTTATTCGCATATTGACCTTACCGGCTTGCTTATACATAAACCATATCTTTTAGATAGCTAAACCTGCTTTCACGATCTCCGTAAACTTTAGCGAATTCAGCCCACAGTCAATTTGCATTTTCTTATCTTTTATGATAACATGATTATTCAGTAATTGTCACCACGAGACAGGGCCGGCAAAAATATCAAAGTTTTGAAAGGGCTTAGGAAAAGCCGCCACCATGGTTGGCGGCAAGAAAATTTTTACAATTATGGTGTCTTAGGGATGGCCAGAAACTGTATCTAAATTGAATTTTGACTCAAGGTGTCGCATAGTCGCGTCTATTGTGATGTTGACTTGAAATAGAAAAGTTTTGCAAAGTTTTATAGTTAAGCAATTTTGAAATAAAATAAAAATAAAAAGTTAAGCAATTTTGTACGGTTTAGATTTAACTTTGTAACATCTGATCTGAACTTTTTCGGAAATTAAGGGCTTTAACAAAAATTTGAAAAACCTTAAAACTAGGCTTGTCAAAATGAGTATAAATAGAATATAATATAATTGCGTCGATATTTTCTCTTTCTTAGTAGGAATGGATTCTTTTTAAGAACAAATCTGTCCATACTGTATTTCTCATATCCTCAACAAAGTTCTTTCCAGCTGTTTCTTTTCCCTCAACAGCTGATTTCTCTCTTTCTGTAATGTTTCTGAGAAAGTTTTCGTTAACAAATAGACCTTGTGTGCCAAGTTTAGGCTAGGAAAAACCGAAACTCCGTCAATTTGTGCTGGCACCAAGTTATTCTGGACTAGGTTTCTTGATCTATTTTTTAAGCCTTCTATGGTAAATACATAGCAACCAAGGAAAGCTAAGAACACATTTAAGAGAATACTAGGCAAAGTTGCTCACAGAATCATATACTACATTTATTTCCACTTTGGCCTAAATTTTTTCTTTAGCTCTGCAGAAAAGTGGGTGGGCCATGGCCCCGGGGCCCCCCTTTCACCGCCCCTGCGAGGACAACATCTATATCAAGACTACCAGATTCAAATATCCAAATATCATGCTGTTCAAGGATTGATTGACAAAAAGAATTGACGAATCATCATGCCCTGAGGGGCGTCTCATTATATGGAAATCGCATACACCTTTGGCAGGGACGTAACTAAGGGGGAGGGGTTAGTGGGTATGACACCCTCAATTCTTTATCAGTTAGTCGGTAAATCTTCAACTGGTTCAAAAAATCGTTAGTTTGTCGGTAAAAAAGTCAATCAGTAGGTAAAATAACACCTTTATTTGTCTTGATCTATGTCTTCATCGATAGATTTTTCTCTACTGTCCTTTCGCTACGCCACTGACCTTTGCTTAAATTTTATCTTTAATCTGAAAAATCCCTAGAAATACTTTTTTATTTTATGCTTCTTTCAGTGCGTTCATCTCCCTGGCAAAGGCTTCACTGTTGGCTCATACAAATGTGTTTGCAGAGACGGATATTACCATCCTTACAAAAATTTCAAGCAAAGATATTTCAATGGAAGTTTGATCGAGGAAAATTTCGCTAAGGGACGAATCAAAATTGATCCGAACGTGTTCGCTTGCCTGCCCTGCCGCGAAGGCTGTCCCAAATGTAGCGACGACAGTCCTTGCACTGTGGAATACGATGACGAAATTCGATACAGCGTATTAGGCATCAATCTCTTCTGCATTTTGATGTTACTTGGTATATCTGGGTTCATTTGGCGGAACAAAGAAGTTCAGGTATATTTTCTCTACAATAGTTCCTGATGGCATTAGAAAAGCAGAGTATTTCTAAGCACCCCTCCCTCCTCCTCCCACGCCCTCTGTGACGGGGTTTATGTCCATTATATTACATCTATCAAATCGAATACCAAGTGTTATGCATTTGAACAAATTACTATAAAAAGACAGCGATAACAACTAATTGAGTAATTTGGAAGTGAGAGGCTACATTTTATACGCAATTGCAAAAGAGGCTCTAAATATTATACATATTAACACAACATGAAAGGCAGAAGTTCTAGCAAAATTTTTGGCAACTTAGATTATATCTTTTGAAGGAAGGATTTCTTTGTAGGAAGTTTGCTTGAATTATGTTTTTATGATTTCATAAAAGATTAAAAATAACAACTCAGTTGAATATGCCGCTCGGTGTACTAAAATTCATTACTGTCACGAGACCAAAACATAAAGCAGCCGCCACGTGAGAAAATCAAAAGAGATGCAGTCACTGCTACTATTGTTTGAATTGGGAGTTCGGGAAAATGTGCAATCTTCGATCGAAGCGTCCTGTTTTAAGAATGTATTTCACTACTAAATTAAAGCTGTATTTATTGTTACTCATAGCTCATGTAAATTCCCATTTGAAAGAAGCTAGGCATATTAAGGGACAAATGGTTCCTTTTGTCTCAATTATGTATTTCTTTTCTCTTTATCTTTTTTGTCTTTTCTTAAGGAATTCTTTTACGGATAGTATAATTTAATAAAGGTTTTGCAAGTTTACAAAATAAGGTTTTGCAGGATAACACACATGGCACTGACAGTGTTAAAAATTAGCACTTTTCTATCATTCTTTGCGTAGTGGGGTTACTAAGGGCGTGGGTACCTAATATGACCAGTTGGATATCTTTCAATACTTAGAAATACTGCAGCAAAAATGCTGTTATTTGGGCATCTTCAATCATGTTTTCATGGGCGTTATTTTACAGGTAGTTAAAAGTGCAAGCCCCCTGTTCCTACTTATCACGTTGCTAGGAGCCACTCTTATGTACTGTGAGGTAAGACCTATCCAGCAATACCTTCTCGATGTATTCAATTCGTTTCAACTCGAACATCTTAGTTCCAGTAGTGTACTTGCTGGCTTTTGAGCTGGTTTGTGGCAGTTATTGTCACACATGAAATCAGTAATGTAACCAGAAACGGGGTGCATGGCGCAACCCTCTGAAGATTCAATCAATGTAAATCATACAATGATTTGGCGAAGTAAGCTCAAAACACCTCGAGCTAGGAACAATTTTTATGTTTAATCAATAAAAATCATGACACATTTCTGAACAACTTATTTTATACTCTTTAACAGTCTTACATTTCAAAATTATATATATAATCAATGAATGTGGTAATATTCCAAAAAAATGAGAATTTAACACTGCAATCCTATTGCTATCCAGTTGTGGCTCCAAATGGGTCATACCAGTCAGCCAGTACACACTTTCCTCGTATTGAGACCAACAAGTTGAGTTTGATTCCGGTATTTTTACTGTTGTCCTAAAACTTTCCTAAGATGTTTTCGAGATCATTTAAATATCAAGTATCATACCATCCCATATTATTTTACCCTCTCTCCAATAATCACTGAATATACCCCCTATCGTGATGCAAAATGTTGAATAAAATTTTACTTCAGACGGAATGATTTGGCACTTCAAGATTTAGAATCAGAAATGTACTGAAATTTCAGCATTTTCTTATCAAAGATCAAGCCAAAAGCTAAAGGTTATTAAAAGATTTTCCTACCTCAATTAAGTACTCTTCAACAATGTAAGGGTTACATGAATGGTTGAGAAGACTGGCTTCCAACGAACCCCTTACACAAGCTCTCTAAACCTTGTTTTGTGACGGATTTTCATCACACCAATTCATGATTATATCGTTTGCTTTAGGCTTTAGTGCTGTTCATAGCACCAAGTGCAGAAGTATGCACGGCAGCCCCATGGTTACAACATGTGGGCTTTATACTGATGTATGGGTCGTTGCTGCTGAAAACTTGGAGGTATGTATTACGCCGTCGTTAGTTAAGTTAGATATCATGAATTCGTACAAGGTCTATGAAGCTGTTAGAAAGGCCAGAGGAAGAAAGAGCACTTCACAGCACTGGCAGGGAACAGGCTCATGTGGGAACCATTAGAAGGCAAGAACAGGGTGTATATAAAAGCCTTATTCTGAACGCTGGAATAGATTTGCAGGAAGACTACACGAGTAGTGATGTTACTGGTCATCAGAGTCAGGAAAACATTACGGTCGCATGGCCACTGACCGGAGGAAGGTCCGCGAAAAACAATAGAACCTCCTGCTGCACACCCAAACCACGCCCAATTTATATTGTTTTGTGAGGAAGATTTGCCTTCTTGAATGTTTTTGTCTGAAGGAAGGTTAACAGTTTTTCTGGACTCTGCTGGTCATCTTGTCATCTTATCGTTAGGAACAATTGCTCATGAGACATTCTTTCTGTCATGTTCAGGGTTTCGCTCATATTCAAAATCAAGAACGCAAAACGTGTGACTGTTAGCGACCTTGGCCTGCTTCAAAGACTGGCCCCCCTGGTTGCTGCCTACATAGTTCTTCTTGTAATATGGACAGTGGCAGATAATCCAACCGAAATAGAGTATAAAACGAAAGATGGTCTAAAATTCCAAACTTGTACCGAGAATTGGTGGCATCACTCTTTGCTATTATGTATGTGAATCTTCATTTTTTCTTACCTGTTTTATTGTGTTTCTATTTAACTTATGTTCATTCAGTTACGGGTAACAGTAAGGATATTTTTAACGGGTTGAGATAACTGGTTTGTTGTGACATAAATTTGATGATAATAAAAATGTTAGTTAACACTAGGGTCGGACAAGCTAACGAACAAGCTTACTAATACTGCATTACAGAAGTTGCCTGAGAAAAGCAGATACAATCATCAGAAATCACTTTTGTTCAGAGGTGCTAAACATTAGAATAACCCAGTTACCGAAGCTGGTCGAGTCAAGACTTTGATTTAAATATTGGTGTTTAGATTTTGTATTAGTGGAAAAGGTTTCTCCAGTTTTTACTATATAGTTAAGGTTTGCGAACAATCGAGAAATATTTACAATAAGGTTTGATATATATTAAGAGAAAAAGGAAAAACAATATTGTAATATGGGCTAATGCTAATCATAATTATATGCATGTAAGCCAAAAGTGAACAAATGATTATATAAAAAAGATAAATGTGAAGTCAGAAAGCGCGTTTTCGCCAAATTCTTGGAGAGCAGCACATTTTTCAGCTATAAATAGGGCACAATTTGGGGTTGCGGCAGTCACATAGCTGCAATGAATTTAGATTTGTTAAAGCCAAAGATTAGGGTCAGAAAATTTGTATCTTGTCACCCCCTCTGTTATCTCTCCAATTGGAGTTATAAACAAACTGCGAAGGCCTTGCCGGTTGATTTTTTTGGGACGGGATAGGTGACAAAACGTATCCCCAGAACAGTATGCAGCCTGTGTGTAGACAAGAGAGAGATATCGGAAATAATTTAATTGTCTCTTAATTCATTTTAGTGGATATTCTAATGCTGTTTTGGGGTATACATCTGTGCTACACAATTCGCAAGGCACCAACCAAGTTTAACGAGAGCAAGTTTATCAGCTGGTCCATCTACAACATGACAGTATTCATGATTTTCATGAAGCTTATGAAGTAAGTTTATCTTTATTTCTCTAAGGCGTGTTTCGTAAAGAAGGTTTTTAGAATCAGCATCAATTGAAGATGCAAAGTGGCTTATGTCAGATTTTTCATTTCGTAGCTGATGGGCCTTTTTGTGCTCCAGCTGATTACCTATAACTGAAAGCATCACGCTTGGCTAAAGGTAGGTATATCTTTATAAAGGTAGGAATAAAGCTGGGAATAAAGCCGTAAGCCAGACCCTGGCTACAGGGGTGTAGAGGCGGGGAGTGACACCTTTCCTTGAACAAATTTACGTTTCAAAAGCAACGAGACTTTGCTAGCTAGGGGTGATTCGTCAACAAATTTTCAAGCATACCGGCAAAAACGGATGGTTTACCTATTTTTTCTGCAAATGGGATCTGAACAACCTTATTGAGCATAAATGTTATGTCCGTAGAGAAAATCTTGCAATAGAAAGAGGAAGAAAAGGTGCTGGGTGTACTGATGCTGGGTAGTTTTTGGAAGCCCGCCCCTAAACAAACTTCAAAGATCTGCAGTACTAGCCTCTTTGCCGGGAAAAATTCAGTAATAAGAGACTTCCTTACACCAAAACAAGTTTTGCTCTCCAAGAATGCAAGCTATGATGCCAGGGATGACGTTTTGAGGCCCAGGATTGATTCAAGCTTTGATAAAACATTGTGCCAAGAAAAAAGTTGAAATCTTCAACTTGAATTGGAAGCAGAGCTCCATATTGTAGTTCAATGATTAATGTTTGAGATACAGTTGATCCAATTCCTGTTCTAAATCACAGATGGGCAGGAATGGCTTTGGGTCGCAACTGTTCAAATGTGGCATTTCCAGGGCAGGTGGTGCTATGGATATGTCCCAGCTCCCGAAAATAAGAACTTTTTTTCGAACCTTATAGATTTTATATTTGTCTGCATCAAACAGCAGTTTTCTCTACAGGTCCTTTTAAGCAAAATTATTGGGTTTTCCGCTATAAAAATCGCCAAGAAAGTGCAAGCCCTTGGGTTAGGATTAAAGCTCTTGGGTTAGGATTAAAGCCCCGGTGTCAGAGTCAGAACCAAGGCAGTCCCAAAAGCCAATCCAGGGCAGTCTCAAAGTCCATATTTATTAAACAAAAGTATCAAGTCCTCCCTGAACCCCAGTGTTGAATTTAAATAATTAATTCCTGTGTAGCTGCAAAGGCAGTGATTTTGGGTTACTTCTGATACAAAGCAAACCTTATATTGAAATTTTTCAGAAGTAACAATTGCATTTTGACCGTTTTATTCTACTAGATTCTTTAAAACCCTTTTTGATTTTTCTTTGCTATAATGAACTAGAAATTACCGTCATATTAAAAGCAAATTGAGGCCATCATTCAAAAGACACAACACCGTGCAGGGACAAAAGATGCCAACATTCTAAGCAGTGTGGATTATCAAACTATATTGAAAAACTTTCGATTTTCTTTTTTTGAGAACCATTTAGAGCCATGAAAAGCTCTCTCGTCATATGCAGGGCAGAAATAGAGTGACACAAACATTTTTTAAATGGCTTAGCTCAAGCTTAAGTATGACTCAGAAAGTTTGCTCTTTTCAGATCTATTCTCAAGTTTTTGTAGCACCAAAGGATTGTTACAAACCTTTTTCCCTGATAATTACCGCCTGAAGGGTGGAGTCGTCATACCCAACCGATATCTGTTGGAGCAAAAATAGAGAATTACGCAAAACGTACATAAGTCTGGTTAAACTGTTGGGGAAACCGCATTATAATGGCGACATGGATTCACTGACGAGATACCAGGAATTTTATCATGCTTATACGAAAAGGTCCTTTAAAACGGATTCGATACTTGCTCTCAACTCAAAGAATCTAGACACTTCATTTTTAATTAATAGAACAGGGATCCGAAGGGACATGCTCGGATGGTATTATTTGATATTTTACTTTATAAATTCTTATCGAAAGTCAATTACAGCAGTTTATCAATTTGCGTCATAATGTTGCTCGTGGTCGGAATTCTACGTTACTCCACCATTCAATTTTTTCTTGCGTGATGTTAGGTCATCAAAGATTTCTAACCGCTACAACTTTCTAAATTTAAGCTTGCCCTTTAGTCCTGTCCTGGTAAATTCCTGCACAAATGAATAATTGGCACGACACCAGGCCATGCCGAACCCAGTTTCTAAGTCAGTGTTATTGTATTTTTATTCTTTTGGTTTATAATTTGCGTGGAGATTTGTAGGTGGATAGTTTGAAAGTAAAACAAAGTCACAATACATGAGTTCTGACAAAATTTTCACAATTAGATGACGTATTATGAATGAATTACTTGTGAAGTTCCACTTTCTTAATACACATGGATGATAAGTCGATTTTTGTTGCCTTCTGATAAGGCAGTAAATCTTCGTAATAGGAGAGGTAACTAGGACGAGTATGAGAAATTTCAGAAGAGTATTAAAGAAAATGTTAACGAGGCATAGAGTATCTATTGTCAATAAGAGGAGATTATTATGATGTAGAATTGGAGAAAGGTGAGTAGGATATTCCTCAGGAAGAAAGTTCTAAAGTGATGGCGCCAAAAAAATAATTTTTTTGAATTTTTAAATTTAGATCCCATAGCCTGAAAAAGCATCATGAGATACTTCTAAGCGTGCAAAATTAGTCAAATGTATAGCGAATTGGATGAGATATGGCCACATGTGTATTGGTTAAAATTCAAAAATGCTACAAATAGGGGTTTTATGACGTCACACCTCAGAACTCTAGTTGCGCTAATGCTAGCAGCGTGTTTTATACCTTTTCATAATTTTGGTGAATTTGGTTCTACCATATGGCTCTAGATGGCACTGCAGTTTTTCAGAAATCCGAACGTCACCAAATTTTGCCACTCACAGTTGCTATAAGCAGAACCTTCTACCTGACCCAGGAAGTACGCCTTTCTTGGGTTTTATAGGAACCCGGAAAGAAGTGAATGGTTTGTGGAAAGAATCTATACAGACCACTTATATGCGTCACACCCATGCACGCTTTGTCCTTTTACGTAACGTTACGTTACGTTACATTATGTTACCTTACGTTATGTTATGTTACCTTACGTTATGTTATGTTATGTTATGTTATGTTGTGTTATGTTATTTTAAGTTATGTTTTGTTATGTTATGTTATGTTATGTTATGTTATGTTATGTTATGTTATGTTATGTTTTGTTATGTTATGTTATGTTATGTATGTTATGTTATGTTATGTTATGTTATGTTATGTTATGTTATGTTATGTTTATACACAACTCTACGTTATGTAACAAAAAAATTCCGATTCAAATTTTCTTTAAATAGGGAAGCTTAAGAATCTTTTTCTGAACATAAAAAAATTCTGTAAGCCAATCTTTGTTCATGGGGGGCTATTATTGGGGGGTCTAAAAGCCGCCAAACCGTGCAAAAAGGCAGTGACTATTACTAATGAGCAAAATGGTATAAATCACGAGGAGGTATAACGTTTCATCTAAACATATGATTTAATAACAGAAAAATTTTATTTAAAAACAAAACACCCGCCAAATCATTTCAAATGTCATTTGCGTGTCGAAATGTATAATGTCACGTGATGTGTTGAACAATGCGAACATTGAGCATGGAAGGGAGATCAATGGCGTGGGTGTTCTTGCCCAACTTGGACCAGTAATACTTAAAAATTTCAAAGAAGCCAATGCCCTTCATCAAATGAGGTGGAAATTGGGCGAGTGCGTAAGACAAAGGCCTTGTAAACCCTTCCATCCTGAGCTGCTCCGAGATCGTCATAGCAGTGTGCAATATTAGCTTAGAAGAGTCGGGAAGGTGCCACAATTTGGCTGACAGAGTCTTATGTTAAGCTAACACTTGAGTACTCTTGTACCGAAGTCATGGCAGTTTATGCTGGAAATGGACTATCCACTGTGTTATAAGTCTGTTTATATGGAGCCCCTGCAACTGGCTATCTCTGTGAAATTGTTTATTGGCGAATTTGAGGCGTTTGCGCTCTGTTTATTGCTTAGCATGTGTGGAAAGTTTGGCTTTGTGTCGTGTTGTGGGGGAAGCAACAATGAGAGAGAAGAAGGTAAAGGGTCGTCGAGGACACGGGGAAGGCAGCGTACGAACTCCGGAGGAACAGAAGATTGCAACGAGGAAAGGGTCAGAAGAGGATCTGAACAAACTGCAGACCCTTCAACAATAAATGTAAATATGGTTGCTCCGCATACGATCAAACTTTTAACCGATATCCGTGAAATAAAAGAATATAAACAGGCTGAGGTTGACGATGACGAAATACAGAAAGTGTTAGAGATACACGGTGACATTTTAGCGCGGCTCGAAAATCCAACGAAATATACTTGAAAATGGACAGAATTATCTGGTTTACGTTGATTTAGGATGGCAATCGCTAATGAAAGGTTTTTGTCGAGATATCGTTACGAATAGCGATCAGTAACAAGTGTTTCCCAGAGAGCCAGGGCCTAGTCACCAAATTGCCTTTGGTTGAAATATGCAAACTCTCCAGAAGACAACATCGGTCGCAGAATCGCTGAAAATAGAGAAAAACAAAAGGAGGAACGACGGCAATTCCACCAGATTTGGTTGTGTTTACCGTTCCCCGAAATCTCGTTAAGAAGTATAAATTGATAGGAAAGTCGATGATCGGTTGTTATTGAGAAGCCGTACAGGGCTTGAAAATTACTTTTTATAATTCCACATGTCAAAATGCACAAGCACCTGCAAGACGGTGTGAAGTCGTTTTCGTTTGTTGCCCCACATTTCGCAGCTTAGACAAGAATTCAAAATTTACTTTCGCCACTTTCACAGTTCTCAATGCCAAATTCCCATCTTTTATTTCCAGTTTTATTTGCATATAACGGACCGGCCTAGGAAGTTCACGAAACGTTCTTCTCAGCCATACGCCAGTTTTCCTTGAAAAGAGTAGCTTATCTTTTCCAATTTAATTCAGAGCTTATATAGTCAGTGAGATAGACTTGATCTTGAGTAAAACCCCAAAACCTCCACTTTGTGATAAAAGATCTCACCAGTGAAGGTAAATTTTTACATTGTCAGGCTTCATAAATCACACATCTAACTTTCCATACAGGGGTAACATCTAACTTTCCATACAGGAATCAATGCCATTATTTTGTTCGACATCCTCTTAAACATCTAGATTAAGGCTCAGGGAAACCCAAGTATTCAGTCAGAAATTTTCTTTTTTGAGTCACCAAAATATGTATGGTTTTGGATTTCTTTTTTGCAAATTTCTTTCAGACCACAGACTCTAAATATTGAATCGTTATCAGTTCTGTAATTGAAATGCTCAAGTTATTACTTAGTTATCATATTTAATACCCTAAATACTGGCATGACACATCCTGTTATGGAATGTAGGGAGTATACCTGCCACCCCTCAGTCAAGAAAACGAATAGAAATGTTTCCTTCTCTCCTTTTTGCTGTGCGTCAATTTATAAGATGAAATTTACTTAACTATCATTTAAATGTTACTGCTTTCACACTGTCTCCTGACATCACCCAACATTCTTATCCCCTTGTTATATCTAGATATTCATTTTTACAAAAATGTGTGTCAGTACTTGTCTTTTGCTTGTTATGACATTACACTCTTTGTTATAAGAAACACAGTACTAGAACTGCTGTGCAGCTAAGAAACTTAAAGTGGTGACTGATAAATTTTAAGAAACATAGGTTTTACAATGAGTACTAAACCCACTTTCTGAAAGAAGAGATGGTTGTATGCATGACAATTTGTCTTTAATGTTTTGCTCTTTCGAGCAAACAATCCTTTAAATTCAGCCAGTGACCTCTCATGAACATGAAAGTGACTGCAGTTGGGAGGTGTAACATAATTACGAAACTCTGAGTACTTATTTCCATGAAAAATTGAAAAAAATTGTGAAATAAGAGTGAGTATTAAAATTGATGTTATGGTCCATGTTAAATTACTTATGGAAAATGCATATTTGACATCTAGTTGTTTAGCAATTTTGCAAATGGCATCAGTTTTTATTGGGTTTTACCCTACCAAGTGCCTTTGATAAATTTGCATAAACATTTTTTCTACATATTGATAGGAAAATGTTACTCTTAACTGTGATGTTGATGGTTTTATGAAGTTTGCAGCCAAAATTTGATTGAATATGTATGGTGTATTTAGATTTTAGATTATTTTCTTTTATGCAATTTAATATATAATTTTTAAAATTCCCTTTACATGCAAAACTACTTCATATGCAGAACATTTAGTGATGATGAGTTCAAAATGCAATTGAATCAAATAAACCATTAATGTTGTTAATTCTGTCATTCTTGATATTTGTGGCTTTTATTCTTGCTGAAAATTTAAACAGCAGGCAGTAAGAAAAAGCTTGCTCTCCAATAGTTCCCAAGCTAAATGCACTTCTGTTCAATAACAAACATCTTGTGTCATGAGAACAGCCACAATTAAGTGCCCATGACAATGTCATTGTTAGGTTTTAAGAAAATGTAGAAAGTTTGATATTGTAGCTTAAAACATACATCATAATAAATTAGCCCTGCCCAGTTATTTTCATGAAAAGAATTTGAAGTCTCTTCTCATTTAATGCAACATTTGTCAATTTTCACCTTTCCCTAATTTGTTTGTATATTTTTTTTGATTGCATTTAATTTTAAAATTCCACTACATACAAAATCATTCAATATCCAACAATTAACAGAGATTCTATAACAAAATTACCAAAGATGAAAAACAGAAAATTGCTATGAATAAATACAGAAAATTGATAGAATTTTTATGGAGGTGAATTCCTTGAGGAGGTGCTCTCTCAATAGATAAACTAGTCAAGGAGAGATCACCCCCATGGATATGTTTTGGTTTCATGTCTGAGTTAAAAAATTCAATAAAAATGCAAAAGGTTCACATTATGCTGTGAAGGTGCTATTTATATTTTCCTAAATGAAAATTAAGACTATAAATTCCTTATTTCCCTTGATAACTCATTCCATAGCTTGGCCCCCATGTATCAAGTTGAGCAGCCCAAACTGTATCATAGTGTATTTTTGCCACAATACTACCCACAAGTGTCAATTCAAAATTGCAATTTCATTTCATATTTTACCTTGGTTATGATAACAACAAAGAGAAAATTAGCTAAGATTTCCAAGGCTACTTTTTTAACAAGATTAATGTGTCATTTTGTTCCTGTTGATGTCTTGTTGATTAACATACAAAAAATCATCAATTTTACAATAACTGGTCAGTTTAATACAAATTTTAATTAGAGTATACTGGGGCTTTTCGTCTGACACTCTTCAGAGAATAAAACATCAGAACATAGACCAAGAACTTTAGGCTTAGAAAAATAAACTTCAATTTTGATACAAAATTGATCAGTTTGAATCTAGGCCTGTTTGTCACATAGCATTTCCCTGTAGTTGCTTTTACAAAGGATATTTCTTCATGCCAGGTAACTGGTTGAAGTATTTCAAGATATTTCGAAACTAGGTAGGACCAACAAATATAAAAAGACGAGAATTGTATCAAACATCCTAGTTAAAGACAGTCTGGTATTCAAAAATAGTGCAGGTAATAAAAATCACACTAGAAATACAAATGGGCCTTGGCCATTGTCAATTGAAATTAAATCAAACCAAAGGTTGAGGCTTTCCTCGTATCGTATGCATTCTCGGTGACAAAAGTGAGAAGTAAATATTTTTTACAAAAAAATTAGATAAAAAGCAGTTCTGTTGCGAGAAAATCTGATGGAAATTGTCAACACAAACTCTCAATTTCCATCAGTTTAGTTGGTTCTATTAAAGTGTGTTTATGTTAATACGTACCTACGGGAGATCTAAGCATGAAAAAAAACTTACCCGATTTTACTTCCCCAGTAGCACGTGTAGGGCCAGTCTCATTATCTTAGTGGCCAATTTTAAGATTGTTTTGTTTGATTTAGCACGTCAGTCAATGATGAAACAGCAAAGCACTGGTCAAAGCCAATTTTCAACTCATATAGCAATAAAACATTCATTTTTCATACATCAATTTTCATATATAAATTTTGAACTCAATAAAAACATGACGTATGTTTTCCCGCTGAAACCATTGTGTATAGAGTACTGGAACCGAATCCCACAAGGCGACGAAATCCTGTACGTTTGGTAAATCATCTTGGCTGGGCGATTTTATTTTGTATATGTTGGTAACTTTGTTGTACGAAATGTTGAAACAGTATTCCCTCTTATAAAGGCCGGGTTACACGATCACTTTTTACCATCACTTTTTTCGATATTGGACCAACATGCTGAAAAGTGATCGTGTAACATGCTAAAATTTTCCATTTTCGCTGCGGAATTTAATGCGCTTATCAGGTGTTAATCCTCTATCATTGGAAATTTTACTCTGAACGAAAGCAGAGTAAAATCGAGTTCATCACTTTTTTTCAAAGGCGCCGACAAATTCTTACGTCATATAATGTTTTGATGAGAAGGAAACGGCCTAGAGTTTCGAGAAAAGAAGAAAATAACGTGAATTGTGCTCAGAAACATGATTATTAGCAGAAAACGAATATGAATAATGATTTGGAGTAAATCGAAGAGCAGTACATTACAGAAAAATGAATGCAGTTTAATAAAATACACTCATTTTTATAAGAAACCATCCTCGACATTGAGTGCGCGAGTTTCTTAAGGTTCACAAAGTTTCAGAACTCAAGAGTTTTTGGAATTTTTCTATTTTATTCTCAAAAAACAAGAGCCTCAATACTTTAAACTTGGTTTGCTGATCACTGTGTATTTTTATTCTTCTTGTAAGTTTGTAGTGTATAAGTAAGTTTAATCAAAATTAGCAATAGAAAATTTAGAAAATTCTGCATTTTATCAATCTAAATCAGTTTCTTTAGTTGTTTTTAGCTCGAGTATTGGAGTTTCTTAACCTTTTCTCATTTTCGACTACTGGTTTCTTATAGACGGTTTCTTATAAAAATGAGTGCAGTGGAAAATAATGTTGCTATTAGGAAAGAAATCAAACGTTTATCATTAAAGTATCCAAATAGTTTATATATGTACAGCAGTTCAGTTCAGTCATGTGGTCCAACAAGAGATTTCCATTGCCATGGAACTTGTCCAGGTCCATAAAAATGGTCAGCGAAAATCTCCCGGACTGTTTCTTATAAAAATGAGTGTATTTTATTAAACTGCATTCATTTTTCTGTAATGTACTGCTCTTCGATTTACTCCAAATCATTATTCATATTCGTTTTCTGCTAATAATCATGTTTCTGAGCACAATTCACGTTATTTTCTTCTTTTCTCGAAACTCTAGGCCGTTTCCTTCTCATCAAAACATTATATGACGTAAGAATTTGTCGGCGCCTTTGAAAAAAAGTGATGAACTCGATTTTACTCTGCTTTCGTTCAGAGTAAAATTTCCAATGATAGAGGATTAACACCTGATAAGCGCATTAAATTCCGCAGCGAAAATGGAAAATTTTAGCATGTTACACGATCACTTTTCAGCATGTTGGTCCAATATCAAAAAAAGTGATGGTAAAAAGTGATCGTGTAACCCGGCCTTAAGAAAGGATGACATTGCCTGCATTCCCTACAGGTTCCTCCTTAATTGGAGGACTTTCAAAATAACAAAAAAATTTTTTCCTTGATATTATTTTAGTATTACTATACATCCAGGACATTTTAATTTTACCCTGGGCGCCAGAGCCTCATGAATCCGGGGATAAGGGAAAAAATTATGTTATTAGTTTCTAACTGTATTAGTTTCTAAAAGCTTTCAATTAATTTTCCTCCGTGGGTTAGAAAATTAGATTAAAAGGACGTCCTCTAAATGAGAGTTAATCACATTCTTGCCAACACTTCAGTTTCATTTATTAGGCCAGCATCAAAAAATTCGGTTTCTGTAACTTTTGTGATTTGCTTCCAAATATTTTTATGTTGAAGATAGAAATAACTTGCAGATAATATTTAGTTTTTTTTACTCACCGAAATATTTTCCTTCCACTGAAAATTTAGAAGTTTTCACCGAAATTTACAATGAAATTTGAAAGATATGACCAAAATTTTTCCACCAAAAAATAAATCCGCCGAAATTTTTTGCATCGAATATTTAAGGCGCTTATACACAGGGTGACTAACTAAACAAATTCAACAGGCGGCAAAGGAACGTGTCAATGATATACTCGAAGACTTCGTTGCTTTAAAAAATTCGTCGAAATCGGGAAATATCGACAGTTTCTAAATTAGGTGAATAGCAGCAACCTTGAAACCAGCTGGACCGCTGAGAGGGGATGGAGGGCAAATTGACCTTGTTAAAGCAAAGATCACAACACTAACAAAATAATAAATCACAGTTTTAATGACATCATTTCTGGCCCTTTCTTTATTTTTGCCCCAGGGCCCAAAAAGGGTCTTGGTGGGCCTGAACACCAGGGAAATTCAAGCCCATGAGAAATTGTGTAAAAGGCTGGTTTACAACCTATAAGCTGTTTGTTAGAGTAGTTTTTAAACTGATTGCGTTATTTCTTAAAGCGATATGCTCTTCATTCTAGAACATTTCTTAAGGAGGATCTTGGACCAAACATAATATATTTGATGGATTGCATACGAATACAACTTTCTGTCACCGTGCTGATTATTCTTGTCTTCTTCCCAAAGGTTAGAATGTTTTGAATTTATGTAGGAAATGCTTTTTAGAATATTGAGCTTGGCAAGTACAATATATGTTGCAGTCTCATATGTATGTTAATTTGGACACTTGGACAAAATTCCCTCGCAGACCATAAACATGGTCTATTTGGTTCTTGATAAATTGTTTGCTGTCTTTGATTGCTGTCCTTAGGACAGGGCCGTTGAAAACTTTTTTAAAAGTGGAGGGGTCGAATTGCTAAGATCGTGGAAAGGTTTAGTAAAGGCCGCCACCATGTTTGACAGCAAGAAAAAGTTTTAAGTATGGTATTTTAAAGATGGCCAGAAACTGAATCTAAAATGGATTTAGAAGACCCTACGCAATATTTTAAGCTATTTTCCATGACCATGCCTCATAGTTCATTTTACTTCAATTTGTAATAGAATATTTTTACATTAAATAAGGAATCAAAATAAAATGGAAAGAGAATTGAATTAAACATGGTTTAACCATAAAACATAAGCAGAAGAGTATCAAAAGAAAAACTAAATTAACTAAAAATGTATCAAGTTAGGGTATATTTTGCAAAATCTGATTGTAAAAGTTTTTAGGAATAAAGTGACGACTCCAAACTTGGCTGATCAAAAAAAATTTTATAGAATTTATTAGAAACGTCCAGAATT